TGGCGCACACATTACTAACTCGAGATATTGAACCAACCTCGTTACCTTGCTGGGTAATCACCATATGTGTGTAACTCAGACCCTGGGAAGAATGACTAAAAGCGATAATAATGGCTTCCACGGCCCATGCGACTATTTTGGGTTGGCTGGTTGTTCCACAGTTTTGCAGTTCTCATCAAATTAAGACTTGCTGAAGTTGTGAATCTTCTTCTGATCTGAAAATGCAGGTAGGTTCAGGACTTAATTGGAAGTTACACTGTTCCATGTTTTAAGTTTGAAGTGGATATTCCAAAAGTCGAGTGATGCCGGCCGGTGGGGTACATTTTACGGACATGAGACTAGACCCGTAAGGGCCCGACGAATACTCCTCTAGCTCTGTCGTATGCGGAGGAGTATTCTGTAGACCCTGTTTACGGGTCTAGGGTATGACAGGGTTTGTAAATTTTGGGACCCTTTTCCCATGGAGCTATAAAAAGGATTTGGGGACCCTGTTCCTTTTTTATAGCTCCATGGAATAAGCCTCATCGCAAATAGGCCTAGGCCTACTCGTACTCCGGGCCTACTTGCCTACTGCTGCTGTGACTGCCTTGACTGCACGGGTGATTTTACACGATGGTAGAAAAGCATTGCAGGTAGAGGTGTGCATTTGCTAGTATTTTTAGAACCAGGTACCCGTTTTTTGTTTAGATCGGGTACCTGGAAAAGAGATCACTTAATAATAACAAATGGCATTGCGTGCGACCTGGTGCTATGTGCCCGAAAAACGGTTCTGAATGTCAGAGTTAATCTTTCCTAACTTTTTACCAAACGAAATTGTTACCTTCAGTTTGCAAATTTTTTTGTGTGGGTATATGAAACAGAAAAACAATCCGTCAGAAAAGAGGACAGAGCTGCAAACCACCTACTGTACGTGACCTACATGATATACTCCACCTGCAACCACTCAAAGGAAATGTCTCGAATGCTGCATGACCACGTACATAGGGAATGCACGTGGCATGTACAAATGGTGGGGGCTGGTCGTGTCATGTGCGGACCAAATCAGTGCTATGTATAAAAATACCAGCGTAACTCGAACAATGCCCACACCATTAATATATCCACTTATTTTGAAGTTTGTGATTCAAAAAACTGCCACCAAAATGCTTCAAATGGCATTGAAAGTATCGGAAGTGTATAGTATGTAGGGTTAGGAGTCATCGCAAGTTGCATTATTTTCTCACGATGACCAGAAGGTATATGTACCACGATGAAGCGGTTTAGTTTTATAAATACTTTTTATGATAACTCCATTCCCCTGAGGTTCAAATTGTCGAGATTTTAATGTATAAGCACTTCGAAAAGTGACATTTGATTGGCCGACTGTATTATGACTTGCACCTGTCAACATTTCCCTTTTTTCGAATGAAAAAAATACTTAAATTTGAAATTCTTTTGTACATACAGAAAACATCCTTCCTGGGTTTTTTGTTCAATTCCTCATCCACATTTTCGCTGAATCACTGAGGAAATTCATGTTGCTTTAATTTAAAAATAATTTTGAAACGGCATATTTCTTGGTATAAAAACTAAACTGGTTCTCTGACTCCTTGGGTTTGTAGAGCACATTTAGTGCTTTGGTTATAAAAGGAGGCCGATCAACCCCACAATTTGTGCATGATCACTACTCACCGCACACTGTGTGGAGTCCCAGTACCGCTGGAATATTACCACAGTCCGCTCATAACTTTCATTCATATTGTTTTATTTGACAAAATACTCTTAACTCAAACAGTAAGCTCTACTAATCTCGCACAAAAGTCATTTAGGCCGACAGGGTTTGAAAGTTACAAATACAGTCATGCAAGTGTACATCAACAGGGCTTCCACCTCATAAGACAAAACTCCTTCGGTCTCTTGTTCATATAGTCATTTTCCTAATTCCGGATCGCAAAAATTATTCGGTAAGACTGCAGCTAAAAAAATCCTCAAATTCGAGTTACTCGGAAATATGGTCAGAAGTCAACTTTGTGTTTTGGATATACTTCAGTTTGTTTTTTTTTTCAAAATCTAAGCTTTTATATTTTGAGTCACATGATCGATCGACAAACGTGACAACGACACCTTTCCTAGTTCTGGATCTGTTTAGGATCGAGACAAAAACGTCTTCACGAATGAAAAGTAACCATACAAAAAATCCATTTTCAGCCAGAACCATTGTAAAAAGTTGCTTTTCTAATAAAGAATTTTTTAATTTTGAGAAAATTAGATGAAAAATAAGAATTCCAATGATTTAAAAAGTAGAAATTGCGTAAAGTTTGACTCAAATTTTCAACTTTATAGTAACCTATCAACGGCACCCTCCCGCACCACACAGTAACTGCGCCTGTGTCGTTGAGTTCGCAATGACTTTGCATGGTAACGCCGTGCCATCCAAAAGTAGCGGGAAAAGCTTGCATTTTTAGGTAAATTAACAAAAATGGAAACTCTAAAAAAGTCATTTTGATTAAGCAGACATTACATGTAGATGCAAAGGTTTATATGACTGATAAATCTCAAGAAATAATTGAAATCACACATCGTGAGTGACCTGTTGCCCGTGAATTTTAGTGGTTTTTTCGGTCTTGTGAACTAGGAAAATTCCAGAACTAGGAAAACGACTTGTGGTACAACGGGCGGAGTGGACAACAAAATTAGCCGTCGATCTCTGAATTCAAGTTTCATGTATGACAGCGGGACCGGGTTTTCAGCGGCACAATGGTTTTCCAGGAAGTGTGCCCTTCAGTAAGAAATTTCACAGACCTTTTATGCATTGATGTTTGTTCCTAATTAATTTACTTTTTTTTACAGGTTCCTTCCTACCATTGTGTAAAATCACCCATGCAGTATTTACGATAAGGCTTGTGCTGTTCCTAAATAGGCCTAGGCCTAAAAGGGAAAGGTAGGCCTACATTTTAACTTCTGAATTGGCCTTGTCCTTGGTAGTTGACTGTGACTTCATGCTCAATAACTGTGGGGTCGATGCTATCAAAAAGAGTATACATGTATGTAGGGTTTGAGTTTTGAGGGAAATTTTAAGGGGAAGCTGTTTTAACACATGACACATGCATGGTGAATTCAAATTTGCACGGTTAGTTTATTAGTAAAAAAGTCACATTTTCTCACAACTTGCAATTTGAAATTTCCAAAAAATAGGGTCAGCGCAATAAAGAGTGTTGCCTTTGTTTTTTGGGGGGGGAGGGTTTAACAGTTTTGCAAGATTAAAATGTCAAAAAATTTGGGGGTCCCTAAGTATATAATCCCTACCCCCAGAACTGTGGGGTCCGACGTCCGCTCCTCTCCCTCGAACCCCACAGAAAAAGAGCTTTTTCACCATAGGCCATGTATGACGTTTAACAGGACACGAACAGCGATTCCATTCAAGTTGTGTACCCATAGAAATTATTTCCTCCAAGAGTTTTAGGTAAGACAGCTTACATGTACATACCTTCGTTTTGAGTACCAAGAAAGAAAAGGGTTAAAACCATGTTGTTTTCCAAAGAAAGGTGCAAATATTTGCTGATCAGTGTCTGACACTGAGAGTCATGCGGTTCACATATGTACTTGCGAAGATGAGCCGGGACCAAATGGTTGACTATGGCTGCAATTGATACACAAGACATGGAAATGGCTGCAGCCACTTTCCGCTCGTGTGTGTGCAATTCTTAGCCGCGCTGGTTGAAATGGCAGTTGGATGCGGCGCGCTGGGGGTCACACTGACCAATCACAGGGCTCCTCATTATTTATGCCCAAATTGAAGGAAGACAAGCAACAGCCGTTGGGCGCACAATGCCGCTCAACAGGAAGTGTTCACTGTAGCGACAGCACCCTCACATGCACTGGCCACTCTTGTCACAAGACTTTGCATGCTTAAAAACACTTCAAGCCACACACAAAGTTTCAACCGCATCGGACCTGTACTTTTCGAGGTATAGTGGTTTGAAGAGATCCCCTTTAATGTCACGTGACTTGTCTCCTGATGATGTCATCATCACTAAATATGCTCAATATTTGCCTGAAGCACTACCTCTCCAGGATATAAGCAGGGTTTCAACCCAGCACTAACACCGACAGACTCATTCCGTTCAAAAAACTTAATGGCTTTTACCACTTTTAAACAATAAGCCTACTTCTGGGTTCAACCACACATTAAATATCCTAGCACTTGCTGGAAACCGAATGTTGCGGGAGGCCACGGTTGATGTTATATGGGTTTTTATTCAAAATTTGATAATAAATCACGTGATGATGTCATCATGACGTAAATATTTTAGAATTATCGTTGTTGTATTGTTAGTGCTTGCTGTAAGTTTGACGATGATCAACGATTACTAAGGTACGAAAATAGTGCCTCGAAAACGTGTACAAAGTCAATGGGCTGAAATAAATATTAACAAATCACTAATACATCACATGATGACGTCATCACGACATCATAAATCTGGGTGTATCTTTGCATCAAGGTCTTTGTTGGCAGTAACTTTGAAGTTGATCAAAGCTCTCAAACTAACCCAAATGCTGGCTTGAATACATGTACAAAGACAATGGGCTGAAATAAATATTGAAAAATCAAGAATAAATGACATGATGACGTCATCATGATGTCCTTTACTTACAATAATTTTTGTATCACGGTCTTTGTTGGCTGTCACTTTGATAACCATCAAACATCGGAAAGGTTTTAAAATTGTACCTTGAAAACGTGTACAAAGTCAATGGGCTATAAACTCTGCTCCTTTAAGTTCCTGTCATGTGATTTGCACTTAAACTGAACACCTTTAATGAAATATTACTTCATATTCTGACTCTTAGGCATATTTCAAATAAAATAACAGAGCATAAAGTACCCGATTTCTCCTTCGTTCTTATAGTAGTCTTGCGCCCAAGTTAAAGACTACTTGTGCACTTGTGTTAAGTAGAAAAATGTGTACAGAGCCTGTGGGAAAAAATTAAATATTCAAAAATGAATATAAAATAAGGTGATGATGTCATCATGACGTCATCCCTTTGCAATAAATCTTGCATCAGGGTCTTTGTTGGCTATCACTTTGAGAACGATCAAATACTGCAAAGTTACAAAAATTTTGGCTCAAAAACGTGTACAAAGTCAATGGGCTAAAAACTCGTTTGCAGAAACACTGCTCCTTTAATTACATGTCACATGATTTTTGTCAAAGCTGGAAAAAACTTATGAAATATTATTTAATATTTGCACACTTGGGTATATTTGTGATCGAACAGAAGGAAAAATTTAGTCTGATTTCTTCTTCGTTCTGGTAGTAATTCTCGGTCGAAGTTGAGGACTGCTCAGGCATTATGCTGGACAATGTGTGTACAAACCCTATGTTGGGCAACAATGCCATCCATGGTTTAATATAGGACAGTTTGTTGAAAATTGAAAGCCCAGGCAGGTGTAACCGTAATTCTGCAACAGCGCCCTCATAGCCTGATATAGGACAGTCCGAAAACTGTGTGCAATCTGTGTACAAAGTCTATGGGGAAAAATTAATTCCTAAAAAATCAGTAATAAATAAACTATTTAAGTTATCACTGTGAATTTTTTCTAGGACTGTCCTTGGATGATGGCTCAAAGGTCTGCCAAGTTTGAAGTTGATCAGATTTAGTAAACTGCCAAAGTCGACCGGTAGAAGGAATTGAGTTGAAGAGGGGAAAAAAAAAAAATAATCAGAAAAACAATACTGTTTCGGAAAAGTTGCCGAAACAGCTTAAAATCAGAAAAACAATACCTGTTTGGGCAAAGGTGCCGAAACAGCTAAAAATAAAAAATAAATCCTGTTGTCTTTTCCGTCTTCACAAAACACCTCCGAACAATATTTCTGTACATTAAAAATGTTGGTTTTTTGTATGTTTTCCTGGTTATAGTAGCAACTTTTGAAAAGAAACGTTCGTTATTTCACGAGTTCCCTTTGTATTTTTGCTGTTGCATTGGTAAAAACACCTGCTCAATGCATTAAAGCAAAAAAGTGCTGGTTCCCGCCGCTCTGGGCCCATGCGGGCACCAGTCTGTACACCCCAGTCAAAATAGCATTGTTACGCCCCAACTGTAGCATCAGTCCCAAGTATAGTTGGACCCGTCCCAACTAGAGTGCTACAGTTGGGCCAGCCCAACTACAGCAGAGAGGTCCTACGTGCATGATGTACCCAGCATTTGCCAAAGTCGTATTGTTTACAAATGTCATGTCATTGGTCATAGGGCTTAAGTGCCACATTTTTGATGAATTGTATCAAGTGTGAGACACATTGGCTTAGATAATGTTGAGACATTTCCCACAGACATTGGTCAGCAATAGTTGGGCCAGCCCAACTGCACTACAGTTGGGACAGGCCCAACTATAGTTGGGACTTATGTTATAGTTGGGGCGTAACAGCATCATTACTCTACATCGGCCGTACACGCATGCAACCCTAGAGCTGCATGTCAAACAAACATCGATGTTGCAAGAAGATTTCTGCAAGTTAATTCACAGAACTTGGTCTCTTGTCTATGTTTTTTCTGTGTTCATGAATTTGAGGTTATATGTACTGTACATGTACATGTTTTTGCTCGTACTTGAAGTGAGCATGTTTCCACAAAAGTCATGCCGGAGCATGAGGTTTATCACCTGCCTGTCTGGATGCATCTCTCATGCTTGCCACACAATACACGGACATTGCTGGCTAGTTTGCCATGATTTACCTGACTAGCTTTGTGCATAGTGGTGTGATTTGTCCATAATTATTTATATAGATATAAATTCAAAACTAGAGAAATCAACCCCTAACATTGATCTGCATTATACATTGGATCAGTCATGTGCATACATGTATGTAGACACTGAAGTAGGCATTGCAGGCGGCAGCCTCTGTAAGGATTGGCTAGACATTTAAATGTTTAAACGATAATGGGAAAATTCTATATGTTTATCAAATTAAATGTAGATTCCTTCTCTTAATTTCATTTCAGGTGTACAAGTGTGCGCTAAGGTGATAGTGCTGACCCATAGTATTTCTGAATGAGATGAAGTGCTGTTACTAACCTTCCCATAAATCATAATGGTGAGTATGCACATCTTTCTGTCAAGAAGTAGAAATAAATGTCTAACATCTGAAAAGAGTATAAAAGAGCAACAGCTACTTGTTTAATCAGGGTTAACGATTTTTACCTTTTTCTGCATACATGTATGTGTCTTCACTCATAAATGGAGCCCAGTCTATAGACTACATGTACCTCCTGTCCCATGGAGATCATGCATTGCTGGCCTCTCTGTGGTGTCTTAGAGGCTATTTTTCTTATTTTAATTTGGTTACAACAAATGCACTGAATGTTTAGTCAAGCCTGTCCCAGTGATACAAAACTCTTACCTTCTGAGGATGTGTTAATGCATAACCTCCCTTGGTGATGGTTGAAAAGACAAAAAGTTACGTTTTGTTTTGACGTGACAAATGGAGTGTCACATTGGTTCAAATTCCACTTACATGTATGTAGGTCTGAAGTCCCATATACTGTAGAGTTTTCTGATGTAACTGGTTCATTGAACTACACCATTACCAGTACTGCTTTTATTAATGTTACAGTAGGCCACAACATTTTGTAATCAGCTATTTGAAAATACAATGTAGGTTACATACTGACCAGTCCAATAGTGGCAAGTCCCAGGTAACTGTGTTTCTGAATAGGCCTCCATTGTGAATTGTGTGAGTTCTCTTAAGAACTTGAGAATCTGAGTGTTGTCTGCACACCTTTCTAATGATTTTATATATACATGTAGTATGACTGAACACAGACAAATCAGACATCATTGAGTTCATTTGGTCACCCTAAGTTTGGTCAGATGGATCTGATTTATGAGTACATACCTCTTCAGTCAGTACAAGTATTTACAATGGTTCAGTGAACCGGTCCAGTTTGGAAGCTGCAGTACGTGTATGTAGTGGGCCTAACTCCTTGTCCTTTTTTTTCTCAGTAATTTTTCTGAATTTCCCAAAATCCCCCAGAATCTAGGCACACGTTGTGAACTTTGTTTAAAATGGCATCAAGTCAAGTGAAAGTGACTTTGTTAAGGATTCAACTTCATACAAAACCATCCTGCCTACCATTTGATAGATTTTGAAGGATCTTGGAAAGTCAGGATTGAAGTCCACCAGCAGGTCAAATGTCTTGTTAAGTTAGTCAGGTTTAACTGAATGATTTGCTGAATGTCATATTTTTATTCCACTGAAAGTGTAATCAAGTAGGTACTGCAGAGAACAGGCCCAGCAAACAAACTTGTGTTTACTGAACAGCTGAAGGATCAAAATAAACACCAGCTGCCTTTACGACAGAGTTTAACTGCATCCCAAGAATGTGGGCATCTACAAAGCTCAGACTTTCACAGCACAGTATATTCATGCCATTCTTGAAATGCTAGATTGCAAAGCAACTCATTTACACTTAGTATCTTTCTACCCATCTCTCTTTTCCCAGGCCTTGTTTGGTGCTCAGCTAATCCTCACCATCATAGCAGTAAGCTTCCTGCATAAATTCACCCCTTACCACTCCCTGGCAGAGTGGCTGCTAGCAAGAGGGTAAGAATATACAGGATTTGACAACTCGGCCTCTGAAGCCATCTTGGTTTGGTTCCCAAAACAGTGATGAATTGGCCACGGCACAAAGGCAGTCTGGTTTGTTCAAGAGCTTCATTCATGTCCTTGTAGACTGTGAACATAGAATGTGAACACTCTGGCTTGTGGGTTTGTAGAAAGTACAGAAAGTGACAGTTTATTTTTCTGGTTCAAAGATTGGATCCAAGATCCCAAGGCGGGGGCAGAATTGACTCATTAATCCAAAATTGATAAACATATTTATATGTATACCGGGCCTCAACATTAACAGTTGTCCCATTGTCCGGGACAAATAATTTCTTCTTTCAGGCAAGTAAAAATTAAGGACAAATATGCTAGATTGACAGCTACATTTTTGTTGAATTAAAGTGTCCGTTGTTTGCACACGTGGCCAAGAATAGCAGTTAGCAAATTTACGTCTTTTTTGTCTTCACAAAAGCTTATAAAAAATGGTAAAAAGTAAACAGCTATGTGGTATGCAATGTTTTTTGCATCGTTACTTACATGTACAAACTCGCGTGTATAAAGCACGCTGTATATTTAGCAGGACACGTTTCCACACAAGGGAAAATGCATACACAAATAAACTGTAAAATTCACTTGTGTCTGGGTACCAAATCTCATTGGTTATTGCACGCATGGCGCAGCAGAGCTTTGACAGCCGGAAGCTCGAAGACTGTTTTACATGTAGCTGTGACTTCCACATTAAGTGAATTTTGCCTGGTACATGTACTTGTGTGTTCACTTTTTTGCATATATGACATCTGGCAAAATCATCAAGTGGTTACAAGAAATAAAGGTTACCCAAACTTTTGTGAATTGATGCATCAGACTCCTGCACACTCTCTACTTACATGCAATAGTTTTGAGTGACGTATATTTGTGTTGTATTGTGGGAAGAAGGAACTTACTGTCCCAGGAGGCAATGAGCAACTACATGTAAATCAGGGTTTGGGCAAGTAAAATCTTACCTTGGGCAAGGAAATTTTCAATGCTACTTGCCCAGTGGATAAGTAGTTAAAAAAATTAATGTTGAGGCCTGATTTATACATCTGTACATGTACCTGTACATTCATTGAGAGAAAATATCATTCACAAATGTAAACTTTAGAAGTTGGCAATTCACAATAAAAACTGCCCTTTGTTTATGTAAAGAAGTGAAAGAAATTGTATAGACAAATCTAGTGACTTTTCGCAGGACATTCCCACGAGTTTGTGTTGGGTTTTGTATAGAGCAACTGTCATGGAACAGTGGCTCCATGCAATAGCTATTGCAGTGTTTATCATTATTGGCGTGAACCACTGCCAATGACTATTGATTGCATTACCATGCTCATCAAATTTGTCCCTACACTGTTAGCTACCAGGTGGTTTTTATCTCCCCATTTGTGATTTTACCCGGTTTAGTCTCCACCAGAATCTTTGCTGATTCGTTCAGGAGATATCACATGGTAAACAGTCGTTCGCATAGATTCAACATGTCACCCAAACTCCTTGAAAAACCTACCCTCAAAAGAGCTTTGTCATCGATTTTGTTTTACCTTCTGTTGCTCTTAACAGGAATCTTGTCCGCTATATGTACCCCAAAGATGAAGAGTTACGGAAGCTAGCAGGGATAACAGTTGGAAGAGGAAGGCATCGTAAAAACAGGTGGGTGGTGCCTGGTATCAACTTTCATAGAGTTTCTTCATAATCCTTATGGCGTGATTCACACCATAGAAGTCAGCTCCAACTGTCTTTATGACCATGTCTGTCTTAAGTACATGTAGTAATGAGAAACGAGATATGTAATTAATCTGTAGTTTGTTTTTCCCTTGTGCTAACGTGTTAGACTCATCAATACTTGCCTTGATTGGTACTTCACTACCTCTCCACAGCATGAATGAACAAAATTAGAAGGAACAGGATTTTAATCTTTGACCTGTGGGTTACCATATTGACTTTGCACCACCTGAGCTTCCAATCCAGTTTGGAAATTTTCCAGTTTGTCTTCTCATTCAGAAGTCCAGCTTTTACATTTAACAAGATTAGCAGGAATGCAGACCTTTGAAAAAAAACAAAGGTTAGGAGCAACTTTGATTGCATTTGGCGAGATTTTTTACATTCAAATGAATATTGATTGATATTGATTTTTAATTTGATTTAAAATGAAAAATGAAGTAGCAGCAAAAGTTTACTTAGAGAAGATACACTGTACACTTTCATCAGTTTTCCTGTGTTCGACTACATATTGATCATTTTATCTTTTAACATATCTCAAATTTGAACACTCAGATCTGAACACAGCAGACGCATCAATCTCCTCGAGAATTCCGAGGACAAATCTTTCTCGGTGCCCAAGAACATTGACTTAGAGCTGCGCACCCGCATCATTGAGCCCCTGCACGTGGCGGTGCTGCGCTTCTTTAGCGAGTACCGGTGGCTTGTGGACTTCTCGGCATTGGCACTGATTGTGTATGTGCTGACAGAAGTGTGGCTTCACGCCAAGGGGGACTTCAATCTGAGTCTGATCTGGATAGTGATGATGGCAGGCTTTGCACTGTATCCTTGCCTTGTCGTGAAGTTAATTAATCAGTGAAATAAGGGGATGCATTTTCATGCATCGAAAAATTGCTCCCTTGTGTTTGTTTTTTAAAAGCTAGATTAAAAACACAAAGGTTTGCAGATTTTAAAAGTTGAAAGAGAGCAGTCATCTTTGAACAAAAGTTTAAGTACAAATTTGGTTGAATTCAAAATTGAAATTTTATTAGATATTTCATAGAAGCAGATTTCCTTTTGAAAGTCTGAGACCTACTATTGTAGGTATAAAACCGTTTGTAAAAGTTGATAAGAAATGAACTCACAAAAACTGTTTATTTTAATTTCCTTTTTTTTAACCTAACCAATTTTTGACCTGCTGTGGCATATTGAGGAAGGATCCCCATTTTTCACTTTTTGAAATATGCATGAGAATAAAGAGAAAGGAATAGGCTTTCCAGTGACACCACATTTGTACTTGTACCCCACTCCACTTCAAAAATAGGCTGCAAGTAAGAAGAGTGGAAACATCATTGTGGTCAAAACTACTTTTCGAGAAAAATGGCTTTGAAAAAAGAGCATGAGTCAATGCTGCAAACATGTTATATGTACTCCATAATTGATCTTGGTCTAACTGACCACAGCAAGAGTACATTTATTTGCAGCTGTTGTCATGAAATACCAAGTAAACTGAAAGAAATCTTCAAACATCGTTTCCTGGAAATGTTATTGTTACAATATCTTTGGAAAAGCAGAAATCCATAGTTGGAGTACCTTATCTTTGATGTTAATTGTTATTGACATCCAACAGGGCTGATGTTGACACTGCCCCCTCTACTTCGTTTCTGAATTTTGGAACATTCTTTTTTGATATTAAAATTTTTAAGTCCCTCTCACCATGAGTTTATAACATAAGCTTATTCAGTAAATTGCCTTTTCTAAATTGACAAATAAGACTACTCTTTGCCAGCCAAAACTTCTGGCTTTTCTGAGGGCTGTCATTCAGCCAACATTGGATCTTGCCTTCAGTACTGTCAAAGTTTCCAGTGTCCATGCATGTAGTCCCATGGGTGTTACACTAGCCGACAAACAGTGTCTTGAGTGGATGACGAGTGATAAGCTAAAATAATATTACTCCAGTTGAATTTGGTGTAAAAGTCAGGGCGGCCTAAAATCACAAGTATACAGCTTAAGTTAGTGATCTCAACAGCATGTACATGACACGATAGTGTTGTACTCTTACATGTATGCGCATGTACATTACACGGCATTTGTGTTTTCATATGTGTGTACGTACGAACATACGGATGGATGGATCTACGTTTGTCAGGCAATTGGGACACGAAAAGTATCTTTTTCACACACTTGTTAATGCATGCTGATTGGACAAATGAAGCACTCGTCACGTATCCAAGTAAACAATGCTGGCTGTGCTGAGCATTTGAATAACAGGAGACTAGTCAAACTCCTTGATTTTGCCTACGCCGTTTTTATCATGTATCCAAGTAACTGCAGTTGTGTGGGGATCCAATCATGTAGCTTCCTTTTGCTTTAGTTTGTGAACGAGACAGTTTCTCAATGTAACAGAGGAGATTTGCTTATCTCCTTTTGAGGCCTGGAACAGGCTAGATGTCATTCAGTCAATATGTCTCTGTTATACATGTAAATAGGTTCCTCAGGGAAAGCCATTTCCAACAGTACCAAACATCATGCAAGTGCAACAGTCGAGCTGCCTGAAAATCTACTCGGAATTTAGACAAAATTCTGTTGTGTAAAAGGTAAACCCTATATATTTTCAAAAAGACCTGAAACAAACTCACTTCAGATATGCTCTTTTGTTGCCCTTGTTTGATATTTTTGCACAAGTGGAATAGCTAGATGAAACTTTGACACCTTAACCTACGTAAAATGGCAAAACTGAAAGTCGATTTTGACTTGAGTTTTCACTCTCCAACTTCAGAAGCCGATTACTCAAAACAAGTTTTTGTGTATCATTCTTCATTTAGCCTAAGTAGGTCACATTTATGCTTTCATTTCTTAGAGTATGTTACTGTGGAGTCACTCTGTCAAAAAAATTCTGAAGTGTTTGTTCTAGAGCCCTGTTGTTGTGGTCTAAAACCACGCACTGACTGTCGTTGCACTATAAGCATCCAGTGTTCCCTGGCTTGTTGACCCCTTAATTTGTCCTAGCCAGGTGCTGTTCCTGCTGACAGCATTGTACTTCACCAGTGAGGAGGACGGCGAGAGGTCCCTCTGCATCACCTTCGGTTTCTTCTTTGCCCTGGTTGCCATGGGGGTGCTGATTGTCCCTGAGGAGTTTCTGGAGTTTGGACTCGACGAAGGTGAAGAGACATCATTATGGTATCTGTATTATTTGATACTCTTATTGTTCGGATATTTGATCTTTGAAAAGTGCAGGGTTATAAATAAATGACTTTGTCCTTGGAATGTCTACATTTAAGTCATTGATACAGTGTGAATTCTTCTACAATGTAATTGTAAGATTTGTCGGTATGAAAGAAATAAAAGGCTTGTGCTTCACAATGTTTGACAGTTTTTATTTGGAAAGAGAAATGAAAGGTCGTCAAGCAAAAGTTCAGATAGAACAGTTTGTTTCGGGTGTGGAAGTCAATATAAGAAATCTTTCGGTGTACTGTGTTTGTTTCAGCTTATGAAAACTTTACTGCGGGTGCACTGGAGTTCTTGAAGGAGCAGGAGCTGTACTCTAGTGGGCCCATCTCCAAGATCACCTTCAAGTCTGTGATTGGTCTTTTTGCTGCCTTGCTAGGGGCCTTCCTGGCCTTCCCCGGCCTCCGGATCGCCAAGATGCACGTGGACTCCATTAGGTTTGCCGTCGAGCGACCGGTGATGCAGTGAGTCCGGAACAGTTCTTTATCTGATTGTTAGGGGGTTGGATCAGTGTGGGAGGGTTTAATCGGATGGATGAGTTTAACTCCAACACCCTAATGACTGGTAATTGGAACCGTCCTAAATCTCTCCAAATCCCCCACCATGAAGAAAACGTGGCCAATTCTTGCTACTCCAATTTTTCAATGGGTATCAAGCCCATGCCTACAACCTTGGAGAATAAAAGACCACAATGGCTAAAGGCATTGCTTGGCATGCACAAGGTTTAACCACGATGAATATAAGGCGAGGGTTCCCCGCGTTTTCTCTGTTTTCTCTGAATGATGCAATCTACATTCAGAATTCGCATCTTGGCATGAACAGGAAAAAAGCCCCTTTTAGCTTGTTACAGTTGAGGTCTGAAGACAAATGGCACTGCGTCGAATTGGATGCTTCCATATTTATTTGAACAGATGAAATCAGTGAAAACATGTTTTTCATAGAGGTACTCTTTCAGTTTTAAGGGTCTGATTAGGCCGGTGAAGGTTGAGCCCTGAAGGAGCTGGAGGTGGAGCACCGAATCTGCTGCCCCCCTCTAACTTTTTCCAATTTTGTAGCAGTAAACTTGTTTCCGGAGCTGAGCCTTCACTTTTTAGAATAAACTCGTCCGGGACAAGTTGCGAACAAGTACGGTTGGCAACATTGACTTCACCCACAAGAAGCCCTGCATTTGTCCTGGGCAAGTGAATGGCTATATATATTTGCCCTCAAGGCACTCAACCGGGGACCCCATATAAGTTGTGCTATTATAATGTTTATTGCCAGTACACTAGACACACAGAGTGTCGCTCAGTGCCCAGCCTTGTTCAAAACCCCAGAAAGGGGACATTATGTAAACAAACTAATTGGGGAAAATAGCAGACAAGGTGGTTAAAAATCCTGAAATTTAACCCTCAACAATATCCGCAACTTGTCGCGGACGAATATTGACGTGACTCCTCACTCAGTGGTTATTTTGACACTAATTTTATGAATATCAAATATAACATTTTGCGCAGCACCCCATTTTTGGAGACAGTTCAGCCAAAAATGTATACTTTTTCCACTGTAGTGCTAAATGCTTGCAGGCTGGCAAACGTGTAGTGTTGACTTCAAGTGACCATAACAACAAAGCCATATCTCTGATTAAGTTCAAGCTTTGTAATGATAAGTAGTGTCTATACAAGCATGTTAAGTTTTAGAAAATAGAGCCCGGTATAGCTGAGTTCTTGGGAGCTAAATCACTGTGACATGGACCAAAATAATTTTGCTCTTTGAGGGTTAACCCAGAAACGTCTGGGCCTCGGGGCAAAGACCCAAGACAGAACATTTTAGAGTACAGAGGATACGAGCCCGATGCATGTCTTTAAATGGACATAGTTAACAGTAATCCCCCCTGGTCTCTCTTCTTGAATCTTCATGAATGTAACAGAATTTGATGTTGCAGTTCTATTCAGTATTTCCTTAACATTTTCACACAAAAGCTTTGTACAAGTTATGGTGGACAGGCTCAACAGCATGTAAAACCAAAGGTTGGATTCTGACATTGTATTTTGTCAGAGTTAAGGGGAGGTTAAAAGCTTGGACCTAATCACAGCTAATGGATGAGTGTGAGGAGCCCTTTTGTGATATCCCCACATGAGGTAATCTATGCCGAGTTAAGGTTGGTTCATACTCGGCGCAAAAGCGAACACAAAAGGGAATTTGTGACATCAAATCAAGTATTCTCACTGTGAATTCACAGAAGTTGAACACATTTCAACTGAACATTTCATGACATCACGTTCGCCTAAAGTATGAACCGACCTTTAGTGAAAGACCAATTTGCCATCTTCTAAATGGTGCATTCTTTTTTCCACCTCCAATGCAGGATTGTTTTGCACACCAGTTTCCTATTCCCTATGCTGATATCACTGATGTGGATTAAGCCCATTGGCAGGGACTACATGTGCAACCCAGCCACTGGTAGGAGAATGACCGGCAAATATGAACCACTGTAGGTAACCCTTCATGTCATTGCATGAAGAAAAATCAAGATTTTGTTGAAGAAATCTAAGAGACCTATTTACAGATGACATCACCTTTAGTTTACATTTGCACTTGCCTTTGGAGCCAGCGAGTCCACTGAACATCATAGGAAAGAACACGCATAAATGAAGTGTAGCATCATCAGTAGATGTGCAGTGGTCCAATGTCCTTTTTACACCATATGCATGCCCGTTGCTTTCCTGAATCAATCCTAGGTGTTTCGTTTTTTCATATTTTTCTCAAGAATGAGCGAAACGACATTTGACCTCACCCGCATGTCATTGGTACCCATGCTGTGCGTACTGCGCATGGTGTTGATGACCCACTACCTTCAGTCCTATCTCAACATGGCCAAAGAAAAAGTGGAGAGGATGAAGCAAGAGGCTGGACGAATCAACAGCCTAGAACTTCAAAAGAGTGTGAGTAGACAGCGGCTCTCTTTCCATCAAACTCCAAACTGCTCAGAATCTGTACAAATTCACATCTCTTTCCATCCAGTGTCTACACCAGTTGCCCAGTTTGTGCCATTTCTGACTGCTCATTTCTTTTTCAGGTTGTACGGGTTTTTTACTACTTGTGTGTTGTTACGCTGCAGTATTTGGCACCCATGTTAATACTTCTGAGCTTCACCTGTCTACTGAAATCACTGGGTGAGTTTTTCCTTCCAAACATTCTGCAAGAAGTGTTTAGATGTGCAGATTTCATTTATTTCATTACAAGTAGTGATGTCATGTGACCTGCTGTGGCTTTCCTTGCAATGGTCTGCTCAAATTTCTGGTAGCCTTGGTCAAGACGTTCGTCATTGGCTGGCTCATGTGTACATGCACATATACATTTGAAGTGGAAAAGCAAGCCGATCAGCGACCTCATGCAGCCAGCATGATATGTAAATCAGCTGAAACCAGGACAAACGCTTGGTCTAACCGTTTCCAGAAAGGTTTGGGCGGTGCTCATTATGATAATAAAGCTAGCTTCCATTCAAAAGACTTAATTTCATTGGTTGACTGTTAACCGCTGCCTGCATTCTGCATGCAACCACATGGCCATGGTATGATCAGATTACACGTTTGTGTAGAACCCAGTGCATTGCGTGCAATGGAGTGCAAAGTTTCAGACTGTTGACTCAATAGTGAAATTTTCCCAGGTATTGAGGTCTGAAACTGTCTTAGTTTTGGCGTAATATATGGTCATTGATATGGCCAAAAACTAGCTGTACATAGTTGACCCACTCAGCTTGGTTCTGAGTTGTCTCTTGTGTCAGCAGCATGGAGTAGACCTACACGATGAATAAATTGTAAATTAAGTCCAACTCACACAAAGATGTTGGTAGCATGACACACACACTTCGTGGCTGCCTGCTGGTTCAGACAAAATCTTCAAGTATCTAGTAATTTACCTGTTCAGAATTCAAATATATGGAGTTCTTCCCCACTGAGGTCGCTATTCGCCGTGATTTTTTTACTGTACTTGAAAAACAATGATGGAAATGGAGAGCTAGCCAGTACGGTGCAGCTAATGATGAATGCCTTGACCAAGGCTAAATTTCTCATGGAAAACAGCTTTTGTTTTTTGTCAGAAATACTACCTATGATCTCTAAAGTTTCATGTTTTATTTTAAAAAAATTTAAATAAAAAATGTTGGTTGTGAGAGAGATTTAAGTTGAGTCTTCCAAGCCTAGTCTGTGTTAGACTCAACTTTTCCAAGCCTGTTTTTGTAGTTGCATAAAGTTCAACTCTGCAGAACTAATCAATATGAAAAAAATGTCGTTAGCTCTGTTTTATACCAAATGTATGCTTACACTGTTGATTTGGCAGCCGTAGATATAATCGGTTTTTTTATTCACAGTTTTGCCATACCGGTACAAGATACGTTTATGGAGAGCAGGTCTCATATTGAATGATAGATTAAGTTTCTATCAAGTGAGTTGGCAGGTTTCTATATGTGGTTACAGAATTTTACCTAGAGCCACTAACCACGGAAAGTAGTAAGGTACAGGCAACATCAGCTCACCAGAAGTAGGGCAGTGTCCGAATCACTTGGCTGCAGCTAGAAATTGCACAGGACTCTATGGGAACTGCCTGCTGCCATGACCTCAGACTCATGTGTAATTTTCTGGCCGGAGCCGAGTAGTTCGGACTTTATCCTAGGTTACCAGCCAACATGGCAATTCATACCTCTTGTGACTGGTTCATTTTTGATTCACACTTAACAAATAAATTTTGTGAGCAATTATTTATGGTTAGCAGCTCTAGGGTAGAGCTTTCAGCTCTCGTATCTTTTGTAGGCCATTGTAAACTGCCAAGCAGCATAGAGTACCGAAGTGAATACATCCCAAGCACAATTATGTGTGTAAATGGTATTAGCACGAGAACCAGCGCATGAACCAACATGGGCTTGAACCAACACGTCTGCACTTTACTTTCTGGTTCAAATGATGTCACGCTTTAATACTCTATAGTGTTTTGAAGGATGCGGGAGGGCAAGTGTTGGGACTTTCACAGACACAGTTTCTTGGAGTCCATTTGGTTTGTTGGCTTTGCACTTTTAGGAGGCTATTCCACGGGTTTGTTTGACTCATTTTCGGCCAACCCTACCTCTACCGTCCCAACACCACCACTGTTTGTCTCACCAAAGCCTGACGTTGCCAGTGCAGAGGCCACCGCTGAACATTTCAAAGTCACTCTGGAGAGCTTGCGGAGCGTTTTCTCACCTGTTTTCTTCCGGGGCATATTCTCATTCCTGACGTGGTGGACGGCTTTTGCGTGGTTTGTTACGAGCCTCTTTGGGATTGCCTACCACACATACTTCACTGATCAATGACAGGATGCCATGCGGAACGTTGGTTTCTTGACGTGAGTTGCATTTGCTCTACTTTGGGGGGTGAGTCGAGCAAACTTTCCTTATCTGGTCTTTTTATGGGACGGCATCTTATGCCAGCTGAAGTCAACAGAGGGCAGCATTACTCAGCAGAGTTTGGCTGTGTACACCAGCCTTTTTGGCAACGCTTTTTGTACCTAGGTATAATTTTATTTAGTAGTCAATGAGAAGATAATGCTTACATGCTGAATAAGATATGAGCCTCAAATGAGTCACGAGGGATTGGGAAAGCTCAACATGCTCATGCTGACATTATGGTCGAGTTTGGGCGGCCTGTTCTTGACTCAGGTTTCTAGTTCTCACGCTCGAATGGTGGGAACACTACCCTAGAACACTGTTCTTGGAACAGGACCACACACTACTTCCTTGTCAAGGTTGCACAGGAACCCACGGAAAACTCGTGAGATTCGATTTTTGAACAGCCACAAAAACTAGCAAATGTCTTAAAAAGCTAGTGATAATGGGAAGGTTTGCGAAATTAACATTCATAATTTTCCATATCACGGAAATGAATGTTCCTTTTAAATGGAAAAGAATTTAGCCCAGCTATCCAAACATTAACTGTCAAAGAACATGCATGGATGCCGCCATGTTGCTTGCCACAAACTACCAGCGATAACCAGTTGTACCAGCTGAGCAGCGGACCCATGAACAACAAATGGAGCTGTTCATGAACATACAGGAACAAGTGACCCAAACTAAGCCCTTGTCTTCGGGCAACCTGTACTTGCTTTGTTCAAATCTACCCTCATGACATCTATGCACGTCTCAGCTCCATGAAATTGACCTTTTCCAGGCGAATTTTGTAAAACAATGCCTGTGGCAATTTTTTTTACAGCGAGAATCCACACTGCATTATTTGTTCACAGGGTTACAAAATAAAATGTAGACAGAAGCCAACCTTTGATTTTTTATTATTTCAAGGTCATTTGTTTGATCTTTGACCTTAAAAATTATCTTTATATTCAAAAGCAAGAAGGGCATTTGTCAACATTCTTTTCCTCGTCCTTACTCTCATAAGCTTTGGTTAACATAGATCAGCCCTTAATTATATATTTTGACATTGTTGGAGTGTAGACCTGTCTATTCACAGTTTCCCGAAATCTCAACAGTCACCTGCTATTTCATGTAGGTGCAAGGTCAAAATACAAATACACATATAGTTTACAAAGCCTCTTATGGTTGGTGTTAACTGCTGTGAACACCATTCACCGGTTGGATGGAAACCATTTGACAGCTTGAAAGAAACCGCTTGCCCTTACAGTTTGCTTTAATATGCAGGGTACTACTTAATAATAGACCCTATAGCTTAAGTTGTTCCGCTGGTGAACATAAAACCTCCTTTTTGTAGAGAAGTGTGAACCACAGAGGAAGGACAAAACTTTTTCTCCTTCCTCCATCTCCAAAGGGACCCGATGAGTGCTCCCAATAGGTGGTCAACAGCTCCATATAATGATCAGTTGCACATATTGAATTTGTGATCCATTTCAGGGTTACAACTATTGCCATCCTTTTCATTTAGTGTTTTAGTAGTAGCTGCTAGTATTGTTTCATATACATGAAGGTACCTTGTGCAACTCTTCATATCTACCCAAACCCCATCGTATTTAATCTGTTGGCCATGTTTCTGGCCACCGAGAGCAGTGGATTCAGTGGGCTCACACAATACTGTGTTAACTGATAAGGTATTGTTACCTGTTCACAGGAAGCTGTGGACTGTCCAGTGCACTCGACCATGAACTATATGGTCAGCCTCTCTGAACCCTCCAAGTTACCCTCTGGTCCTTTTCAGAACCTTACACATGCTCACAATAGGCATACTTTGCACAGTGCTTACCGCAAACCTTTTGTTTGACTCCCTGAACCACTTGCTTGTTCCCTACTGACCATTTGGGGGCTAGCCTTTTATGAACCCTTTGACAGTTCTAAACCGTTTTGTGTTCTCACCTTGCTCCTCTGACTGAAAAATGCCAACCTAAAGGCCATGCTAATGCAACTTTCAATGAAGAAATTGTGCTATTGCCAGTGCTGATGAGAGGCAGTTGGCAGTGGGTGGTGACATCAGAGGGGAAAAAAAAGAGTTTGGTTATGATTTGTCTGGTACAATGGGACAGTGACCAACTGACGGTTGAGTATTAGCTTGGTATTTCAAGGACAGGTCACATGAGTGACCTTTAATAGACACACTTCATTTGGGGCATGCTCTGTTGAAGTACAAAATTGGTGCATTATTGTCATTGGAACATAATGTGCTTGTTCAGGACTAGTTGGACTTGGCAAGGACTACTGTGACTAGTTGTACATGGATAAAGGAAAACAGGTTTTGGGTTTTTTAAGAATCCAGGCTTGCATTATTACATGTTGTGTGATTGCAGTGTAGCTGGTTAAGTCAGGTAGTACTTCCTTAATGGAGGTGGCTATTTATTTATTGAAAAGTCAATTGAATAATTTCCTGAACAAAATGCCTCAACCACAGCACACTGCAACTGAATTGCGAGCATATTTTACTTTCGCATTTCACATGGTGGGAAAATGTTTTCCCACTTATAAGAATTTTTTTTCCCACTTGGGTGAAAATGTATGAAAATGTTTTCCCACTTGTGTGAAAAAGCATGAAAATCTTCTCCCTTTTGAGTTAAGAGGTGTGAAAAGGCGTGTAATGTTTTTCTTGCATGAAAGTTTTTCCCCACTGTGAGAAAAGATTTTCCATGTTTTGTGTGAAATGAAATTGATTTCCCTGGGAAAAGAAGTATGAAGAGAATTTTCCATTGCCAGGTTAACTCTCAGGTCAAGTTCCGGCGGCCTGTTCCTGTCACGCGTTTCTTGTTCTCACGCTCGAACGGTGGGAATACAACTCAAGAACACTGTTCCCGGAACAGGATCACACACCACCTCCTCATCAGGGTTTACAGGAACACGCGGAAAAACTCGTGAGATTTTGATTTGTGAACAACTGTAAAAAATACACAGATGCTTTACAAAGCCGGAGACAATTAGAAGTTTTGCAAAATTTACATTAATTGTTTTCCATAAGACAGAAATGAATGTTCCTGTTTAAACAGAAAATAATTCAGCCCAGTTATCCAGTTATCCAAATTCTCACATAACGTAGCCTACATGTACACGAAGCCGCCATGTTGCACGTTGCTTCGCACTAACTACCAGCGATAACCAGTTGTACGTTCCCAGCGTTCAAGTGGCCGACCCACAAACAACAAATCAAGCTGTTCGTGAACAAACGAGAGCAAACCGCCCAAACTCAGCCTCAATTGCAGTGCATAGTGACGTGTACATTTTACATTCAAATGACTTTTTTTGGGCCAGCTGGAATTTCAGAACCAAGTGTAATACCGAGTCAGTGTTGTAGTCAATACCATGCACAAGACCAGTCACAAAGGAATGCTTTTGTTGCAGTTCATCTGAATAGCTTTTAACTTGAATTCAGACTGGAGGTCTTGTGCTGTCTTGGTAGGCCTTGTGAAGGTCTTATTACATGTAAGTGGTCTCAACTGTACTGAGTTTGCCATAGACTAAATGTCTCATTCGACCTTGTACTTTTATTGGACAGTATTGTTTTTTCTGCAGTCTGTCAGACTGGTTTGAGACACATTCATTGAATTTGGCCAGTGCTGCTTGTTCAGTTTCACATGCATGTATTGAGATACATTGCAATGGTACATGTATATTTAAGAGATGCAGTGTGAAAGGGCTGTTGTGCGTGGAATCCTATTAGCTGTGATTATTTGGCTTGAGTGTGCAGGAATATTTGTTTCTGCAGAGAACATAAGCTTGGTAGCTGCCCAACAGCTAAGATCGTTTTCTCTTTTGTAAAATTGGAAACCTTCAGCTGTTAATACGTTTGTCCATGGCATTAGCCATACCAGACATTTATCAAGATTTACATGCATTTTCACCCTTGTATATATCTTATATTTATAAGAATTTCACAGTTTGATGGAAGACTCACAAGAAAAAATTCAATAAATGCCATTGAAAGAATATTTCCTACGTACATATAATTTAGGTTGAAATTTCCTTCTTTTTTTCTTTCTCATTTTCCCTGACTTTTTTCTCCACATTGTTGTGCTCCTAACTGTATTTTGCCGTTTCTGAGAATCATCTGTTTGCTACAGCCTTCCTAGAACACATGCACTTCAATTAGTTCCAGCAAACGTTAGCATCTGTGATGCAATGGTATCAGCAAGGGCCCAGGGGAAAATGTCGTGCATAACTGACTGCCACATCTGCATGCTTATCTGCATGCTTATTTCTTAATTACTATTCACAGATGAGCTCGGAAAAGTTCCAAGAATTTTAATGTTATAGTGCCCACTGTCCCACTAAGCAGCTTTATTTTAATGTTTACACAAGCTAAGATACAATTTAAGAAATACATGTTTCATTTTAAAGATGCATTTTCAAAACTTGTAACAAAACAGGTTTCTTTAATAAAAAAACTGGCAAACCCAGTAGGTCATGCAGCATTGAAAAGCATCACAAATTATCTTATATGATGAGAGTTATTTTTTTAATGTAAGATAAAATGAACAAACTATAACTGACAGCATCTTCTTGAGTGACATGTACATGTACACGCCCATAATTTTGTTTGACTTTTATCAAGAGAATTGGGTACCGAATTATGAATACAATGTACATGTATCTGTACAAATGGTGTGCAGTAAAACCGACATAATACATGTATAACCAAATTGAACTTCCAATCAGGAATCATTGGGGAAAGATTAATTGAAAATTGATTAATTTGTATATATTAAAGTGTAATTGTCATACTTTTCCCTTTTGCACCCCACCTGCAATTTGGCCTCTGAGCCACGATGCACAAACAGCATAAACAGAGTGTCCACTAAACCATATATAATAATCATATCTTTTTATACGTGTACATGCACCAAAGGAAAAACAGCAAAGCCAAACACCCAGAAGCATCCCATCATCCCAACAAGAAGTAAACTGTATCAGCACTTTGCTCTCATTTCAAGGTTGCTCCCTGGAATGAGTTTACTTTTTGGGTAGAGTCCTTTTCCTGATAACTACTCTTACACTGTAACTTTATTTTCGAAAATTATGGTGTTTGCTTTTGTCAGAGTTTCATGAACACGTTTGTATGCCACTGTACACAATGCCACAATGATCACATTTGTGTCTAAAGACTGACAGTACACGTACCAGTATATGCAAATCATTCATTTGCAAATCAACATTTTTCTTATTTTGCCTAGAAAAGAAATTACATGCACATGTTTCTGTACACAGGTCTGCTGTTTGATTATAAAGAGAAGGAAATATAGGTACCGTGTTGTTAGTTTTTATGAAAGGCACATTATCCACAGCTGGAAACATTATTTTCTAATGAAGATGACTGATATATCAGCTTGCCTCTCCAGACAGCAATTTTACCCTCCTACCCAAAGTTACACCGTCTAAAATTATGCGAATAGGAAAGCAACATCCAATATATAAATGATAAAGATGCAAAAAGCTCAATTTTGCATTCCGAAATCAACAAAACAAATGGCATTATAGAACTCAGAAGTATGACTCCAGGGTCCCCCGCCGGCGTACGTCACTTGTCCAGCAGTGGAAGCCACCACCCAGCGAGTTGGCAAAGCGGATGGAGACACGGATGCACTTGATGCCCAGACGCTCAAACATCTGCTGGGTTGGCCCCTCGCTCTTGTCCACCACAACTCGTTTGGGGTCCAGCATCAAGACATTCATGGACAACCACTTGGAGGACATCCACAGGGGATGGTCTGCAAACGATGGGAAACATATATTTATGTTAAACCTGCCCATTCTAGCACTGTACACAACTGAATTGAGTACATGAAGGAATTTGACATTTCAAATCAAAGGAGGGTTAAATTTCTTTTAATTAAAGATAAAAATATGTACTAGTGTGTATTTATTTTGAAATACATCCATTCACTTCGTCAGGGTGAGATTTGTCAGGTTTTTCTCTGATTTCAGAATTTTTGATCAGAATTTTTTTAATGTCAGAATTCTATCTCTGAATCTAGAAAGTCCCTTTACGGTGTTTTTAAGTACTACATTTGATATGGAACACACATATGTTAAGGAATGCCTTTAGGCAAACACAAATGTATACCACAGACCTTACACTTCTGTGGGGTCCGCCAATCCTCCGAGGATTATTTTGTGGATATTGCATTTTCCACTAATTTCACTCCTGCTTTGGTGGGTGAAAACATCAAGCGAACAAGAAAACTGCAACAAAGGTTCTCTGGTATACGTGTACATGCACACTTGTGCTTGCCTAAAGTCACTCCTTAAAAACCCATTTCTTGTGTTTTGTATACGAAGAATTTGCCAGATTTTAAGAGATTTTGAAGTCCAGATGAATGGAATATCCACAAAACCATCCTCAGAGGATTGGCTGACCCCGCAGAAGTGTAAGTGCATACAGGGGCATGGCTGGTGGGTGGAAACACTGAGAATCTCCACTCTCTAGTTGACATTTAAACATGCTAATCCCCCATTTGTTTTGCACGCATGCCCAAAATCTGTGATGTCTACACGTATGGAGGCAGACCATGCGTTGAATTTAAATCGTGCAAGTACATGTACCAGTACTGTTCAGATGACCCCTGTAGAAAGGTATGTGTGGCATTAGACTCTATACATCCTTAAAAGTTGGCCGCTAAGTCTTGCCTTTTGTAGACGTATGATATTTTCGGCCCAAAATATTTCATTAGAGAATGTGCCCTTTTTGCCACTTTCAAGTTTGATTCGAGTTTGTTTGAGGTACATGAAGGCAATTTTGTTTCATATGTGCATTTCTGGGGATTAGACTTGAGGATAATGAAATATCCATGAAATAATTGCAATATAATTGTTTTGAGGGCCCACAGCAACATAGGTTCTCTGGTATACATGCACATTTGTGGTGCCTGAAGGCACCCCTTAAAACACCTATTTCTTGTGTTCTGTATACTAAGGATTTGCCCGATTTTAAAAGAGATTGTTTAGAAGTCCAGACAAAAAAAAGCCTAAATCAGGAAAACTCCTGACAAATCAAGCCTGATTTCTATGAAATGTGGCATTAGTGCCAATGCAGAAAAACCTTAGATTCATATTGCAAATATTCTGTGCTACATCACATTTATACATGTATGCAGACCTGTAACAGCTAGAAGAGAGATTTGTACTTAGCAGGATCTTATTCTACCTCCGTGAATGGCTCGAAGGACACTGAGTGCATTAAATGGCACATAACATTTTAGCACACATTTCTCTTTTCCGTCTGTGAGACTGTGACCACTGGCAGTACGGTAAAGACTGTGTGCATTACTTTAACTGACTGGGCCTGGGATAGGCCAGCACTCAGTACCCTCCACCGTTCCAGTGGGAAGGCTGCGCTTCAAGGAAGGGATGGGTCAGGTGCATTACTCACCATCGGGAATACAGGGCTTAGGTGCAGTCACAATGTCCCAGCCAGCCCTTTTGAACATGTTCAGCTGGTGGCACGGCCGTTCAGGGTTGACCACCACCAGGCCGGGCCCAATGATGTTGAACGTAGCGTCGATATGCATCGGGTTGGGATCATCAAAGGAAAGTTGGTGGATGGTGTACTCACTGCCGAGGTGGCGCTGCAGCCATTCGATCCCCATCAGATTGGTAACCTGTGATCCAACAAATAAGCCCCTCTGTCAGTTCAATTAAAAAAGTCAGTTCTACCTTTTGGTCATTTCACCTTTGAGAAAGATTTTGCCTTTGAGAAAGATTCTGCTAGGATCGAATTGTCAGGCCCTTCATATTTTGAGATTTGTATTTTAGGTCATTGTAGTCAGCAAGCAGTTTGCAGCAGTTTTGTATTACATATCTTTGGAGTTCTACATACGTACCTTCTGAGATCTGATGTTCACTGAGATTATTTACCTTGCTCTAGTCTTATTTGGGCATTCATCTTATCATCTTGGGGATTTTGGCCTGTGGCCAAAAGTCCCTTGTCCCAACATGTGCAACACATCAGTAAAAGAGAAACAAGATACTCTTCAACTTTAAACTAGTTTTAAAATATTACTGGGCAAAAGCTTAATTAAAAACCTTCCGCTGCAAAGGGCCTATTTTTTTATGCTCATTGCTCCAAGGTGATACATTTGAGATCACTACATTATAACCCTCTTCCCAAATCCACATTCCCTTCTACTGGTATTTAAATTGATCAGAGGGTGTCCCCAAGTGCCTACAAATAAAAAAACCTGCACAAGAAAAGGTCCGAGTATGGTCACTGTACCCTTTTTCCAAAGGGGGGTCCCACCACAGTCAACAAAAATTTGACAACCCCCCCAACACAGTGAAACTACTCAGACAGCTCAGAGACACATCAGAGAGACCGACCATTGATACAAGACACACCTAGGCTTGCCCAGGCTTTGTCAATAATCCCTTATCAGCACGTGGCTGAGATATTTACATACAATCCCTATGGGACTTGGCTGGAGGCTGGCTCTGGAAAAGAATTACTCAGCTCAGGGGAAGTCCCCGTGTTAAAGGTGACTAAACTAGGCTGTTCAGCATCCACAGAGGTACAAATTGACAGGAGGTTTTTGCAGTTGGCCGAAAAAAATTTTTTAATTACATAATTAGACAAAATTGATTCCCCAGTGTATCAACTCCATGCACCGGAAGGTTCTGCATATTTGGCCAATTTAACATAAATGTCCAGGATGTAGGCTTAGAGTTTGGGTTAAAAGTATTCGAGTTTGGAATGGAGAGTTCAGTTTGAAATGGAAGGTTGTTATCTGAACATCACATTTCAAATTGAAGTTTGTTTTTATCATCTGTAACAAAGTGCTTCCTGTTACACCCATTTCAGACGCGTTCTAGAGTTGCGCCAAAGCAAGCTGCGGCAAAAGATCAACATTTGAAACAATTAGGAGCGACCAGGTGTGCTAGCAGGCGAAAGATCGACACTTTGAGGTGCTTGGAACGACACCAGAGTGGGTTTCAGATGCTGCTCTTTTCATGGGCTGAACCCAATGCAAATATATATTAACAACTTCCTGCCGGGGCAAGATGTTGATGATGGTGGGCCGGGATATTTATCATTTTTTATCTTCATTTACTGGACTCTTATGAACACATAAAAGGCTGTCTGGTGTCCACTCTAGCCTGACAGACAAATTTTTTTGCCGGAGTATTTCAGCCAGGCCTGCAGCCTTGTGAAAAGAGCCCAGATTGTGCAGTATTATGTAACTTTCTTTTGTTCACAAACCTGGCTCAGTGTGCTGCTGACCTCTTTTCAATAGGGGCCAATTTCAAAACAAGGCTGGATTATCACCACTTTTGAGAGTGAAAAATTTTGGTAATTCCCAGCAGCCTGGTCTTTTGTTCCTAGTACAGTCTTTTGTTACAAGGCCCTGTTCCCTTTGTGCGAGTTCGAAGACCCCAGCCAAGCATATAAAGCATACATGTCTGGATCCGGAATCCACGGCAGGGTGTGGTTAAGTTCGTCTGTCTGAAACCAAAATTTTAATTGGGTAGACCCAAATTGCTCTTGGTTCAGCCTGACCCTAAACCTGTCTGAAATGGGGCCCAACTGAACCTGTCTGAAATGGGGATTACTAACTTTTTATATATACCGGTAGTAGCAAATTTGCACGACAAATTGTGTTTTCATCCTTCTGTGCAGGTTGAATATAAAAAATAATGTAAAGGATTACAATGATTAAGTCATGAACACACATGAAACATATCATGACATTTCTTGATTAAACGGATCATTTGCAAAGAGCATTTAAAAAATAATGAAGCAAGTCCTCAAATAAATCCCAAGCACCTGCTGCATCAGCCTCAACTTCCCACACCATTTGCAGATCAATAATTGGAAGATAAGAGTGGAAATGAAATTATCTCCTTGTTTGTTTTCCTTAGAAATATGCTATTCCATTTAGGCACCAGTAACTTCAAGACTCCTTAAACAGATCTACTCATTTACACTTGCATGTATTTTTAAGGCAGTGTTCCACAAGTCTACTGCATGTTTCAATACAAAGTCCCCATTGTAAGGAGTATGTTTCATTGCCAAATCACCTGGACTTTGTAAAAGGTTTTTAAATCAATAACAGGTGAAGAAGACAACAATTCAATCACCATCCAAAATTGCTGGGTAGGTAGTAAAAGTGCAGAGAATGCTTTTAAAAAAGACGCCATGATGATGTCATAGTGGTATGTGGTACAACTTGAAAACTTTATGACATTTAATACAATAATTTTGAAAGCAGGTGTTACACATTCACTTCAGACATGATTTCATATCAACATGCACATGACCTTAACAGGATTTATCCCACAATGGGACATAATTTGATCCAAGCTAGCAAAATAAACCACGTCATCAGAGCCACTTTTTGAATGAAAGACCTTCACAAGAATCTCACAGTGCAGATTGAACATGTGGTGGGAGCTGAAACTTACACACATGTTCGAAACTTATTAAAACTTATGAACATGAACGCATGCCACGTGGTCACAAGATTTCTTTAGGAAAGTTGAGAACAATTTGTAACATGTACTGAACCAAGATATCCTCACACATGACTAACACTTTGACTGGGATGATACTAGTGCAGATTGTTTTATACATGTAAACCAAAATAAGAAAATTGGAAAAGTGCGAGTGAAACATCCCATCAATTCTAGGAGGTTAGTGGATATTCTGCCTGACCTCTAGGTTTATGTCAGTGTTGAAAATTTCAAGTTTGCGTATGTGTTTGCCTTTGTGTCCAGTTGTGAACCGACCTCCCGATGTATGCACACTAACTGGCAAATTGTTTTGCCAAGAAGTTTGGTTTTTTTTAAAAGGCTCACCTGACTCCGCTGGCAAAATATGTCTCTGCCGGCCCGAATGAAGTCGGCAGCGTCAAAGCATGGCTCAAACTCCGTCGTCACAAATCTGCCGCTGGCTGCCAGCATGCTGCGCTCATTCTTACAGTTCATGGGATAGTTCTGCACCGACGTAAATGAAAATCTTGTGTCAGCACAGAGACTGCAAGCAATCAAGACCTCCACAGGTTCTTAGAGATCACAGTTCAAATGCCCATGCAACCCACAGACTGCTACAGTTATCTGTAACTTTCAAGCACTTCTTACGCACAGATTATACTTTTTTCCAATTTCTGTTAACAGTGCATTATTTTAAGACTTCATAAACCAGAACACCCCAAAGGAAAAAAAATGGAAACCAAACAAAACAGATAAATGTGAAAGAACACAATGCATAAATGCCAAAAACCTAAAACCAAAGCTCACAACAGAATCCCAAAGCTCAAAAACAGAATGTTAAAGAGAGGCAAGTCTTGAGGGAGAAACCATGGTTAGAGACTGAAAAATTCAAAAAATCAGTTAGTTGTCACCAAACACCACAGACAAGTGGAATGTACATGAATCTGAGGAGATGCCATTTCTGGCACTGAACTCACACACACATTCTTTACATTAAATGTATGCCTGAATTTTTAGCAAATCAAGGCACGCCATTGGTGGAAGAGGCATTACACATACCATCTAGCCACCGGCACAGTGCCACAACAGTGTAATTAATAGCTTCTAATTCTGGTCTACTGACGAGTCTATTATACACATATCTGCATATGGACCGTGCACGTCTACATGCCCAAAGGTACTATGAGTGACCAAAAGAGTGTCCTACTTGTCCCTTGGCCTTCAGCCTTGAGAAACAGGACCCTGCGCTGGTCATTCACAGGGCTGTGGGAAGGGGCACAGATGGACGAGTATGCAAATCTGGCCAGTCCATGCATGTTTTATAATAACACAACTAAACTGATCTGAATTTAAAATTGAACTCTTTGGATTCAATTCCCTGCTTTAATTTGATTCCCTCATAAGCAATTCTCTAATTAAGGGAGTGCTTTTAGCTTCCCTAGATTCAGTTTTTCAGTTGCAGTTCACTGTTCACATCATGCAATATGCGCACTGTGCCCAGTCAACAATTTTCAGTATAGTTCCCAATCTAGGAAATTATGTGCATGTGATGTCTTGGCATGCACCTATCGGAAGATCGTGCTGATACGTATGTGGGTAATCCTAGAAATTAGAGGTCCAGTTTTTTTTGTGTCCCTTTCACATCTGACGTATGATATTGTAAGTTTAGAACACATTTTCTAATTTCCAAGAGTGATGAATTAATGCAAGTTGCCTGCCAACAAAATACCAATAGTTTGAAATCAACTCCGGTGATATTTACATGTCAAATAACAAATGTCAGATGTAACAGGGACGTGAAAATGTCACACTTTTGGACCCCTAATTTCTGGAATTACCCATGTGTAAATTTGTACTAAACCCTGACAGCCCTAAATACTACAAAGTACTACTCCATAGTAAAAATGAAGTGTGCAGTGCTTGTAAGAGGACATGACCTTATTGTTCTCTGAAGCCATAAAATATAACAGATAAGACAATGTACCATACAGTGCTGTGGCACATGCATGACTTGATTGTTCTCTGTACAAGTAACAATGGGGGGTGCCCCAGCCAGAAGTCATCATTTGTAGCACTGCATGTAGGTTCTGCAGGCTCAGACCACTGCTTAGTATTTTGTAGTACTGAGTACTGCAAGCCACATTTTAGCAGAACTGTTACGGTTAAAGGATAGAGACTACCAAGAGATGTGTATAAAGGCTCTTCAAGCATGCTGTAGGTGTGTACATTGGTTCTGATTGCAACTACACACTGTAAAATGAAGGGGACCACCCAAAAAGGAGTCACCAGGGACAAGCAACTCCTTAGTGGAGAAGTAAAAATAAATAATTACTCAGTACACCACTCTTCCCTCTTTTCATATCCTGACAGAAATCGCTGCAACCTTGTGGCAAGCTTACTCTCTAGCTGAAGTTGTCTGCACGGTTAGCAGGCTTGCTGGCAATATATGGTCAATGTACTGTACTAGTAGTTGCAAGGTTCCAAATATGTAAATAAGTGTGAGCTAGCAGTGAGCTTGCAGCGACCTGGCGAAAGAGCTGGTGAATGAGTTATAAATACAAAGTAAGCATGCAGGGTTAGCGTTTGGTTTGTTCAGCAAGCCAGCAAGCTCCTGATAGTGTGAACGTACATCATCAGGTCTAGAGCTCTCTGTTTATGTACAGTTGTTCTTGTACAGACAGCCATGGTCACTTAAACATGAACAATCCATTTTTCATGGCTAGCAAATCTTGTTATGGAGGTAATTCACAATTATTTAAAGCATAATTTTTTAGCCTAATATGTAAAGCAAATTTACACATAACTTTAGAGTACATGCATGCATCTGTACCATGTTAGGAGACCAATGCAACTTGCATCCTCACAAGGGTGAGATTGGAGGAAATGGAAATATCCATCATAATAATGAACAGCAGCATAGGGCCTACGTTTTACAGTTGCATATGCCTGCACGCACCACTTAAATTACCCATTTCTTGTGTTCTGCCATCTATATCAACTTTATACATGTACGTTTAAGCACCTTAATGACAAACTCATGATTTTCCGCATTTTGAAAGAGATTGTTTCAAAAATCCTAAAATCAGGAAAAGTTCCGACAAATCTCACCCTTCCTCAACAATCTCTGATTTCATGACCCTGTAAGTAGCAACTTTTATTGTATGTATTGTATTATATATGTACATGTAGATTTCAGGCATTAATTCAAAGCACATGCACAAAATGATGTACCGTACATGTATGTTGCTCAGTGGAAGCTTGCAACTTCACAAGAATTAGCCTGCAACTTGTACAAACTCACAGCGTATGTGAACATAGTGAAAAGGCATTTTGATAATTTTTCTTGCCACGCCTATCAATCCTTCGATTATTCAAGCTTTACGTCAAAACCCTCCCCAGTACATTTCAACAGCAAACACCAATATTGCTGTAATTTTGGCAACCATCATTATTTCACAGAGATTCAGAGGAAGTTAACTGGTTTTGAATTTTGCCATTGCCAACCGAGTGTTATATAACAGGCTCAAGAAAGATACCAGCCAAACAATCTTTTTAAAAAATGCCCATTAAAAGTGCCTTGTTGCTTTGCTCCAACAGCGCATGAATAGATTACCAGTAACAATAAATTTTACTACACAAGAGGCTTGGGATACCCCATGTACACTACTGTAGAAAATGATTTTTACTGCCGCATGTGATGTATATATACACAATGTATACATACAACGTACACATACATATGCATGCACTTATTAACATACAGCTGGTTATCCCTTCTTGTATCCTACATGTATTCAGCTGTGAGTTGTGGAGGCTACATTGGTTTTGATTAGAATGTCTGTAGAGTTAATTAACTTGAAACATCAAAGACTTTATGAATGAGGAATATCTTAAATGTCAGATGAAACAGAAAACCTTTTGGTTAAGCCCACCAATGTGTAAAAAGCACATACCACATGGCCCTTGCCCAAAACAGAGGTGCTGAATATGGCCAATTAAAAGTCTAGCCTGTATCAACTCAACCAAGAGTACGGTCCCACATGTCTATATGTACACGTATGACTGTGGGTTGTTCCATGGGTACACTTCGTCTGTGCATACAAGTGGACTATTGTTGTAGGCAGAGAGAGTGGCTTATATGTACAGTAGGTTGCAGCTAGCAGTCACTGGTTCACATAGTTAACTGCTTTACCTTAGATACATACATAGTCTTCATGTGGCTCTGTGGCTGAAAAATGGCGTGAAACTTTTAATAGGCCATTAATTCTCTTGGTAGGAAGAAGTCAAGAACAGATAAAATGCAACTCGAGCAAACTTCAACTGAAGTACCATATCGTAGAGGGCATCACTCATTTGTGGCTTTGGTGCAGTGGTCCATTTTGCTCCGGCCCTGAAGTACTCTTTCATCAGCGGCCGATAGGCCCGGTACTCGAAAAAGCGAGAACGCCATGCCATCGGACTCTCTATGATCTCATCGCCTATGACTAACAAAATGTCTCGAGGCATGGCAGCATACATGCCTGTTTGTTAAAAAATTGTTCAGTGATCGGGCCATACTTTCAGGGTGCGAGTTTGTGATTTATCTTGAATGACGAAGTGGCAAATACATTGTACAAAGGCAGCATGTTCACTGGTCTGCAAGGAGTAATTAAGGGAGGGGACTACATTTACATATCTCCTCATTTTACCACTTTATAGAAAACAGCTTCTTCTTCAGAATTTGGTACTGTTTTGAAGAACTTTGACAGTTTTCTTTCAGAAATGTCTCCAAATTCTGGAAATTTTCCAAAGTCAGATACATGTACATGTAACTTCCTGAAAAAAAATTGACTTTCGAAGTTTTAAAGTATGGATTTGCATCAGAGAATGTCAAAATATAGTATCCAAATACTTAAACCATCACATAGCAAATGTTCAGGACACGGGCAGAATTTACTTGAATGCAATAGTGTGAAAAAAGGTTGTTTTAAGTTTAAGATGTAACGAACACCGATGCCTTTGGGCCTTGACTGTAGTGGAGACAGTATGTCTCCAAATGTATGTATTTATTTTGAATGCACATGTAACAAAAAGTCATACCCACTGGATGAAAGTCTTGTTAATAAAGTACCAATTTGTTTTGAAACACAAAAGAACAGATTCTCACCAGTGGATGTAAAGTCGGGTGTGGAGTACTCTTTCTGGAAGTCCACCTGCTTGGGGCGTCGGACAGTAACGCCCTCATGCTTGAGGACATTGCACAGCTCTTCAATCTCAGCCTTGGCCCTCTCAAGGTGCTCAGGGGGAAAGGGCTGGCCACCTAATTGCTGGAAAAATCCCCAGTGCTGATGGTTGGTGTTGGCCTGTGTGGGTTGAGAGGATTATTGAAATTCCTCATCAAAACAAGTTGCTTGAGATTTACCATAGAGACAGTACATCTGCATGTCTGAGCACCAAACAACTGCACCAAGTTATTACTTGCAAGTTTGGAATAGAACAAAGCTGAAACAAGCCTGGATTTTGTACGTTCAAAATTTTGACTCTGACAGAATCAGAAAATGAAAGATAACAGATGAATCCTCCAAAGGATACCGATAAACACAGAAATATCTTATGTAACCTTAACACCCTTCACTCATTTTGATGTTAATGCGTGTTGGATTTCCCTCATTCCTGGATGAATTTGCATTTTTATACAGAGAAATAACAAATCATCATCTAGAACATGTTATTTTGCACAAGAACACATCAAACACATTAGTGTGTTTTAAAAGAACAAAGTTCATGTGATTGTTGGCTGGTATGCCGGATTGTGAAGTCCACAAAGAATGAATGAAAAATGCCACCATTACAAACTTTCCAGTTGACTTAGAAATTCCATATACCCCAGTAGTTCACAACTACCAGAAACAATGTACATGGCATAGGTGAAAAGTTGGAAAGGTATTCAACAATTATCTTCAGGCTTTTCTAATGAGTACTGGAATCTGATTTGAGCAGAAGCACACCCTCATGGGTTGACAGGAGCCATTTGGTTGGGAGTATGATTTTGTTGGCAGTGATGCAACCATAATGCATGCACCAGTCATTTGTGAACCAGCAAAGTGCAGTTCCCATCAAAGGAGCCCCCCGTTGCTAGAAATTTGCCCCATCTCTTGGATCAGCTCGGGGCTCACATGGATGGCAGTCAGAGTTATACTTTTCAAATAGGTGATCATCTGAGAAAGCCAGTTTAGGGTTTAAGATCTCCAAAAGAAAAGGTCACAGTTGAAATTGCAGTTAACAGACGTTTACATAAATTTCAATTGTAGATCTCAGCGTACACTTTATACAATTGTTTAAATGACAAGAAACTATGGACAGCTGTCAGGCCTAAAGTGGACAATAATGATGATGTCTCATTACAGAAGTCATACCTTAACTTCCACGCTAAACTGAGGCACTATGGCCCCCTCCACCCGCCCCACGATGACCTCTTCCAGAGGATCCCACTCATTGTATGAACAAACAGGACTTGTCTTGTGCATGTCAGCTTCTACAGCTGGACTGGTCGAACTAGAGTAGCTGCGGAGCCTGCTTGGGCTGACACAAGGGACCCAGTTTGGATGCTTAGTCATGGCAGGCTTACCGGGCAGCCAGCACCATGCCTGGAAGTGCAAAGCAATTCAGTCCAGTAAGAACCCCGGCAGATTCAACCCAGAGGCTGACTAACACGTCTGTTGGTGTACCATTCAAAGTCTACATCAAAAGCTCCACAAACTGACTGAGGAATCTTAAGAGAATATTGATGTTTCAAAGGGAAAGCTTAAGTGAGTTTTTCTTTAAATCAATGTACACAATTATTATCATTACTACTGTAGGTTTATTCAATCACATTTACAGCCCGAGGGCTGAATTACACAGTGATTTAACATTTATATAATTAAAAATAAAATAGTCCATGTACAGTTGAATTTTACAAGCATAAAAATGGTAAAAATGAAATTAAATACGTTCAAAATCTAGAGGTCTATAAAAAATTTTTAATTATACATCAAAAATAAAAATACAAATTACAAACAACACACAGTCACTCCATGTGACACCGCAACATTACACATCAAAACCATGCAAAACGTTTACAAATCAAGACCAATGTCAAGTTACATGTACACAGTGCACAAAAATATGCAGCTTAACACAAATCAAGAGAAAAATCAAGGGGGGGGTGAATCGAGAAAGAGAAGGGGGAACGGAACACAGGTGAAAACTGAAAGGAGGGACAGAAGTATTGAGGAAGAAAGTGAAGGTAACTAAATTAGGGGAAAATTGCACAAATTACAAGGGAAAAAATGTGTTATACAAGTAAGTTACCAATAATTGCACATGTTCACAAGTCTACCGGTAGTTAAATAAGGGACGGAACTATTTTTTAATCTTTTGGTGGAACATAGATGTTGTTCAAGGGTGCGACCTGATCACAGACTCGTGCTATGTGAGTGTCTGGATTTCTGAAACCATCCACTAAATTTACCAGATTTAAATGTTTTTAAAGCAAATTTAGTGCAAAGAGAAGTTCTTCTGTCGCTCAATGACTCCAGACCTAGTTTGGACAAAGCTTGACTGTACAGTAACTGCTGTACTGATGACCCCAAATAATATGACATACCCTCTTCTGAATAGATTCAATTTGATTTGTTTTTGTGTGATACTAGAGTGCCAAACAGGAGAAGCATATTCCAAGACAGGCCTTACATAGCCCATGTACACCCAAAACAGTTCTTTATGACTTAAACCCGTTTAAGTTTCCTTATAAATATTTTTTGACTCACTTTACCAATCATGTCATCAATATGGGAATCCCATTTCAAGTTGTTTTGAAAAATTACACCTAGTAGTTTTACATGTGAGACCTGCTGAAGTTGAAAATCAGATAATACATACAATGTACCCTGCAGGAGGTGGTTCTCTCTTTCCAAAATACACAGTGTATAGTCTGACATTTCGATGGCTTCGAGGAAAGTTGATTTTCTACGGGCCCACTCATTGAGTTTATTTAAATCATCGTGTAGATGACAGATCCCATTAAATTGTTAACATATTTCCAACAGAATTAGCAGCACTGTATACATGCAAGAAAGGTCACTGGGCCAAGTTTTGTGCTTTGAGGTACTCCACTAAACAAAGTTTGCCACTCGGAGAAAGTTTGTTTGTACATGTACATGTACAGTACTTAACTTGTTTCCATTCCAATAACAATTGGTAATCCACTGAACAATAGCTGGGGAAGTACCGAGGTCTAAGAGATTTTTAATGGCCACCTCATGGTTTACTGAATCAAATGCTTTAGTAATATCAGTAACTATAAGTGTACCTATACTGTTGGGAAAATTGGTGCCTGAAACAAGCTTGTGAAAAATGTCAACATGTCAATGAGTAGAGGATAAACCTTTCTGGCTACCAACTTCATCATCAATGCTTGGCCGAATTGCATCCACGACCCATTTACAAACAAATCCTTCAGCCATTTTAGATAACAATGGGGTAAAGTGAAATCGGCCCAAGTTTTTGTAGTGATGGAGGGAACTGCTTTGGGATCGGAACAACATTGGCTTCTTTCCACTGTGTTGGTACAACAGCCTGTAAAAATGCAGGATTATGAATATTTGTGATAGGAGTACTCAATTCATATGTGAATTCCCTAATTATTCGGGCAGGCAGATTATCTGGTCCTCCTGTTTTTGTAACCGAGGTCCGTTTAAGTTCATTATAAACAGCCCAAGGTTGAACCTGAGGGGTGGCAGTGAAGAAGGCAGATAGGCAGCGAGTGTGGTAGGCTTTAGGGGTCTTGACCTTGGCGGAAAAACTGGCAAGGTAATCATTTGTGGCAATGGCAATCAGTTTAAAGTCAGAGGGATCGTGCCCAGGAACATGGTTAGATCACTTCTCTTAAAATTGGCCAACTTTTGAGTCTCTCTATGCCACCTCCCTGGGGTTTGTCTTCTGCGTGTTACGAACCCTTCCAGCATAATATGCTTGCTTAGCAGAAATAATTTCTCTATTAACTTTGTTTCTGAGAAGCTGGAAGTGATTTCTATTACCACTAGCAAAGCATTCCGTCTTGCACTGATAAGGTGCTTTATGTGATCAGCTGACCAGGGTTTATCACAATTATGACGCTTAACAATTTTAAGTGGGAAGTGCTCTTTGATACCCTGACTAAGTAAACTATAAAAGGCATCCACCTTTGCCTGACAGCACTTTTGGTTAAGCATCTCATCCCATGTTAGATCTTGTATCCATGTCCCAAATGAACAGACACTGCAACCAGTATCCTTCATTGGCCTAATAGTCTTTTTGGGAATTGATTACTACTAGAATTTTGGCACTAGGGAATCTAGTTCAGGTCACTTCGACCAATTGGAGGGGAGATGGTGGGACATTCATCCTGATCAGCAAAATTTGTAATAATTCAATCCAAAATAGTATCTCCTCTGGTTGGGTGTGTAACTACCTGAACAAGATTGTTTCCATTACAGATCTATAGGTCTAATATTGAACCTAATAAAGTCACCCAGTAAAGCAATTCCAGTGCTTGGTTTGTGAGTCCATAATAGGTCCACTGTAGACATTGTTTGTTGGTGAATCAATTGTGGAGAATCTGGTGTGATGTAGACCCCAAAGATGGCTATTGCAGGTACACTCCTTGGAAATCTGGGATGATTAAGGAAGACCCATTCACCATCGATTGATGGTGGGACCTGAATTTCACAAGCTGGAAAGGCCTGCAAATGCTGTGTAACATATAGCAGCACACCACCACTGCTCCCGTTTGGTCCATATTTACTGAAGACTCATGGAGTCAAGAGTGCTTGGCTATGGGACTAATAACTACCGGTATCATATACATGTAAATGTTTTTTAAAGGATAAAAATTTTGGAAAAAAAAAAGAAAACCAGCAATCATACACATCTGACTGCACAAAAAATGCCAGTTGGGCCTTATAACAGTTGCAGTCAACAATGGTTTTAAGCTGCAGAATACCAGCATGATCGAACTTTCCAAAGTACATAAATATACATGATAATTGGTTCAAAACTGGTTGGAGGTATGATGTACTGTACATAGCAGAACCTGTTTGATGTTGAGGAAGATTATACAATGTAGTTGACAGTTGACCACTCCTAACTGCTGTAACAGGAGAGCTTACCTTTGTCAAGTAATGGATGGCTTCCCGGCCGCGGCATCCCCCAAGAGCAATTCTTACACCCAGCATCTCCTGTGTAATGAAAACAATTTTGAAAGCTTGTTCAAGAGCTCATTTATTTCAGTGTGAACATGCTGACTGTACAGTTGGTCCACAGATTCTGTCACAAGGCTGAATTTCATTGGATGAAAAATGCATGGGTTGAGAACTGTTTAATGATTCACCAGACAGCAGTAATCATGGCAGTGGTCTGCTTCTGCACCAGCAGGGGTGGTTCCAGGAATTTTTCGGGGGGGGGGGGTGCCTCCGATTCTTAACGTCAGATTGTTGCAGACATTACATTGTTATTGATCAATGTACAAATAATGACCCTTACACAGGATGTCACCTGTTTTTATTGTTACGATAACTGTTATTTCATTCAATTTTTTAAAATTCTTTTTTGATGTCAGAGCAGGGATTATCACCCCCCAGCTGTTATTTTTAATTGAAACACTTAATTTCCTTGAAGTGACTGATATTAAATGTGAAGCATTGAAATATTTATTTTAGATCATTTTTCAATAAACGGTTCTTGGTAAGCATTTAGTTTGAAAGAAGTGGGGAAATATGGGGAATACAGTATGTCTCCATGACCGCAGACAGAGATTTGCTGTTGAAATATCATCAGCTGTTTATGTCCATGAATAAATTCAAGATGCAAGCCACACGTATTGCACCTTCTTACATTACAGCATAGGAACCCTCTCGTCAGCTCCTGCAATTGGTGCAAAAACAAATACACTGTACATGTACATGTAGCTTAAACCACACCAGCGCAGCTACTCTCTCCTTGTAAGGTTATTCAGACACACCTGCAGCAGCATATTGCACTTCGGGTACTGACAATTAATTATGATCTTCAGCAAATATACAGAATGGTAATGTATGCAGGCCTCAACCTGAAGCTGTTTTTTAACTAGCCTAACAGGCAAGTTAACTTTTTGTTTTATTACTAGACTAGCCCACTAGAAGTGCTATTTGCCCAATGACATTTGTTTAGTAAAACTGACATTCGCTTTTTTAAATTCCTTATTTCAACCAATATTGTGGAGTCTGGCCAGCAATTTTAAAACTAAAAAAATGGAGGATTCAAAAGTACTAATTTTACAAATAATGATAAACACCACGTGCAATCAATTTTATGTTTCTTTTGTTCATCTTTACAATTATGAGAAATGAGTTTCAAACGAGTAGATGTTTCTTTACTAGGCCCACCAGGCAAGTTGAAGAACATATTTTACCAGCCCACAGTAATTCCTACTAGAATTTGTACATCAGTTTAGTGAAGGTTGAAGCCTGATGTCTATCTGAAGTCAGCTTTTGCCTAACTTTGCCCCCATGGCATTGTGTGTTGAAGACTGAGCCAGAAAGAAGATTATTTACCTGTGCCATTCCCGTAAAATTTATGACCCTGGAGGTCACACATTTAAGAATATTGTACCACAAAATGGTCACTTTATTATTTGATCTTCTTGGGCATTTTTACCAGAAAAGGCTAAAATGAGACCAAAGTGTGATGGGCAGTTTTAAACTAGCTTTTTTAAACAGACAGAGCCATGGCAAGGATACTGGCCCTCTTACTGAATTCAAAATGCAGCTCCCATCAAACTTCTGCCATCTTAATTTTAACCCTCTTGCTTGCAAGAGCAATTTTAGATTTTTTTTAACTCATGCCTAAAATTTAGACATGTCTAATTTCTTTCCAACTACAAGTATATACACAAGATGACCATTACCAGAGGCATGCTATGTATCTCAATTTACATACATAATATGCATTCAAGCAATTCTAGGTAAGTATAACTTTTTTCCTTTTTTTTCAATTTATCTTTCTTCAAAGAAGTACTTTGACAAATATCTTTTCCCTAAAATACAGTATTTATTAAGTTCTTTGCATACGGGTACATTTATAGTTATATGTCATGTAACTGCAAACAATGCAAATGCAATTAACAAATTGACGTTGGAATCTGAGACAAAACCTGTGAATACAGTCGGTAAAACAGGATTGGATAAACAAGGGTCTTTTGGTCTTGAAAGTACCTCTTTTATTGATTCCAAAATTCCATCATGTGTTTACACCTTACAAACCCATTTGTAACTACATGTATGTCTGAAAACAATACATATTTAGTATAACGGACTACTTTTAATTTTCTATAGATACAACACCTTGTTTGTTGGCAGTAAAAAAAAATTGTTGCTATAGTTTCTCAATTTAACTTCTTTTATGTCAGCTACATGTACCATTATCTTACATGCAGTACATGTCCACTCTATGTCTTCTTCTACATGTACATGTAAATATTTTTCCCACCACGATTCAATTTGAGTTTTTCTCATTATAGATTTTGTAGTTCTAATGTTTTGTACATGTAAGTTTCCCAAATTAGGGTTTAGTTCAACATCAAAAATATTTTCAGTTACTTATAACCAATGTTCTGGTAAAGCCCTTTCTAACATAAACATTCCCGTTAACCAGCTCTGTTTGGTCACTAACTTTGTTTTAAGATATTCCAAGGAAAAATCTCTGTTCTCATTTAGCAGATCTTTCAAGTGAATATTAGATTTGAACCATTTACTAAAAAAGAGACCCCTTTGATTAAACAATAAGATGGTTACCCCAAAGTACTTGAGACTTAGGGTTTTTTCGCGTATTAAAAAGTGGATGTAATGCTTGCCAACACAGAGCCAACTCTTAAATAAAACTGTAGTTGCGAACGCATGATACATACAGTATGCGACCCTTTTGGTTCCCATAGTTCAATCACAAGTGTTAGGTTGTGAGAGCAAGATTCCAGGAAATGTTTGTGACAGATTTTCCATTCACCTAAACTTCAACTTGTCCAAAACTTCCTGGAAAATGAATCCCTCAAAGAATCCTGTTTTCTTCCACAGTTTTAATACTCTGCAAATAAGAAATAGATACGTCTTTTGGGAAAATTCTTATGTGAAACGCAAGGGTCTCAAAATCACACACAAAATGCAAACAAACAAGATGTGAGCAACGGTTCAAAACTAAGGCTGCATCCGAATTCTTGCCCAGAGCTAGGTCTAGGACTTTGCTCCATTGGAAATGTATAGAGACGCCCGAACAATAGACTTAGCCGTAGCTCTGGAAGCCCGTTTCAGACACAGCCAAAGCTAAGCCAAGAAATGCAGACTTGGGCAACATGGGCATGGGCAACACCAGACCTCCCACTTTATTTCACTTTGAAATTTTTTCAATATGTCCTGACTGGTTTAGGAAAATTGGGGGAAATGAGAATTCTGCTGGCAATCAACATCTATTTTTAGAACAGGGCAAATTGCAAATAGCTGTTACACAAATAATGAACAGTTACCAGAATGTGTGCAACAATTATTCCATACAGTGATATGTTTTATGCCACAACCAACGAAGTGGAATGGAACATTTCACTGAATGAAATTATTCTTACCGTTGAATGAATGTGAAACTTTCATTGTTTTATAAAATACCTGTACAATACAGGCAATTCACAATAGTGCACCATCAAGAGTTTACAACGCATTGCCCAATCACAAAGCACAAAATTTGTTGACCTATTCCAAACGCGCACTGAGTCAACAAATTTCGCACATTGTGATTGGCCAAAGCGTAGCAAACTCTTGGTGGCGCACTATTGTGAAGAGCCCGTATTCCTCCTCTGTTAGCTAGAACAAATTTGCAGTCCTCATGTATTAATGACTGCCATTTTGCAAAACACATTCGTACAATGTTAGACTTTTCCGTCCCTACATTATTTTCCCCTTTTTTACTGTGAAATGAAATATGAAATGCGGGTGGCAACTAATCAAGTAAAATGAAGATCTAGTCAACAGACACTGTTGAATAGAACAAATTATTCAATGACATACAAATCAGTGATCCAGCAGTCTGAGGCAAATACGGTATAAAAATCAAAAAAGATCTTGACTGCCAAGTACACCGTATCTGGATAATACACCAAGCCAAAGGCAGAGTTGCAGACTCAAATCACTTGACTTGGACTCGAGTTGGACTGGAGTTGCTTTTTTTGTGACTCGTAACTTGACTTGTAATTATCAGTTTTTGACTTGTGACTGAGCCTGGACTTGCAAAAAAGGACTTGTAACTTGGACTTGCACCTTATGACTTGTTACCAACTAGGGCTGCACCGCATATCCGAATATTCAATCAATTATCAAGTATTAGAATATTATTTTCCAAATTTGAATATTCAAATGCAAAATTCATGAAAAAGGGAAAATTTTCTTTGGTTTTAAATTTAAAAAAATTGCACTATGCAGGCTTGATGCAGGCAGATTCAAATGAAAAGTGACAGAAATCTTATGACTCCAAGGTAAATTATTCATTAAAAAACTTAAAAGGAATAGAAATTTTAACCTCTTCATGCCGGGGCATTTTTCAATGTTGATGATGCTGGGCCGGCATAGTTATCATTTTTTCCGTTTTAAAATTCTTCAAAAATTCATCATTTCATTTAACGGACGTTTATAACCACACGAAGTAATCTTTAGGCACCACTCTTAGTTGACAGGTGACCTTCATTGACGCCCAAGTATTTCAGCCAGGCCTGCAGCCTTGTAAAAAGAGCCCAGATTGTGCGGTGTTATGTAACTCAGTGCACTGCTGACCTCTTTTCAATAGGGGCCAGATTTGCGTGCAGCGGTGCTGTGTAGCTCATCGCTGCGGTGGTGGAGCACTTTTGTCCCCAGTGGTAATCCACTCGCTCTAAAAGCCCCAAACCCTGGTATACGGTTTCAAAACAAGGCTGGATTATCACCAATTTTGAGAGTGAATAATGTCGATAATGCCCAGCAGCCTGGTCTTTTGTTCAGAGTACGGTTTTTTGTTACAGGGCCCTGTTTCCTTTGTCTGAGTTCGGAGACCCCGGCCACGCATATAAAGTATACGTCTCCGATTCTGGAGTCCCTGGCAGGAAGTGGTTCACAGGGCAAGAAAACTAGCCCTTTGTCTAATTACCAGCAGTCATGTAGGCACATTGGCAGGCATCCGATATCGTTTGGCAGTTTCGAAAAGTCTTATTGTATGTCACATTGTACATGTATGTTGATTTCTACATAGATTACAAGACATCAACATACATGTAGATTACAAGATTTCTATATAGGCCAGAGGGTGACTTCAAACTAGTAAGGAACAAGACTCTGGCCACCTGGCAAAACTTGTCCAGGTTAAAATAAAACGAAACACTTGTGAAAAGCTTTCTGGCCTCCGCCTTTCAAAACTTTATATCTCATAAAATAACAAAAAAACTTGTTAATTGTAGATTAATGTACCACTTTTTTGTTTTGTTCGTGTCTGAAACAGAATATCATTTGTAGGGGTTCATTTGAATTTTGTTTTGTTGTTGGCAAAAGCAAAAACTTTCATATGGGTTTTGTTTGAATAATATCTCAGGAAGAAGTATATTTCCTTCCCTTGTTTTAACATTTTGATACATGACTAATTAAACATTTTAATGTAAGACCGATTAACTGGACAGAGACAGAAATTTTACAGTTTCTTAATTTTATTCCTCTTTTTGCATTTCCTGGAGAGAATAAAGTCCAACATTTTAAAATGTTTTAAACGTTTGGGCAAGAATGCATTTAAAGGCACCTCAGTTTTCAGATTTGCCTGTTTCTGCCTATTTATTGATAACAAGTTCTATTGTTTACACTGAAAAATACTGAAACTAGTTTAAGCTCTTGAAATTAATACATATATAATCTGTTTCACATCAAAACATACATTGCCTGTTGTATTATTCATTAAAAAGGTAAATTTACATGAAGGCCTTGTAAGTAAATATACCTTTTGGTAAATGTTATTCTCTAAGATAATTATATTATTTCAAAAAGTCAATAAATAATTAAAAATCTGATTTCAATCCTTATGTGGTGTCATTTCAGTAAAAGAATGACCAGCAACATACCAAATTTAGATACAGTATTTCTGCAGTCATGCTGGAACCTCTTCTCTACAAACTCCCCCCCCCCACCACCACCATCACCACCACCACCAATCCACCTTCACAATGAAAGTTGTAAGTTGTAGTAACAAATAATTTGGGTAGGACCCCAGACCCTAGTTTTTAATGTTTCAGAGCCATGCACCCCGATTCAACTACACTGTGAATCCACTCCACTCAACAGCAAATTTTTGACCTAATGATTCAACCTAGGGCACCTCCAGGAGGAAGCCTGGGGCCTTTAAAAGAACTTTTTTTATTTTTCAATTTTCATTTGTTTACTTTCAACTTTTGGGAAGGTCAATTCTATAATAAATTAGACATGAGAACAAATTGGAACAGTGAGATTCCCTTTGAACTGTGGAATTTTTACCAACAAATCATTTACTTTACCAATGCTGCAAATGCATATAACTTAAAATGCCACAGGCAATACACTCTTGAGTTTGAACCTTGTTACATCTCATTGTCGTGAGGACTAACTTGAGGACGTACATGTACATATAACAAGAAATATTCATGGTCATGAAGGTGGTCTGGATAGTCTGCAGGAGCTGATATTTGCTGTGCAAGCCTTGCCCTCATACTTAGACCCTCTGCCTCTTCCATTTCTCCTTCTGGAATGTCAGGCCTGTTGCCATCATCATATCACTGCTTTCATCTTCTGCTTCCAAGATGTCACCTGGCCAAACAATTAAAAACATCACTGCAGTCTCAAACACTGAACCAAGAATTCTCCTGTTTGATTCAAACTTATTTTGGTTCATAGTCAGCAGTAACTCAGGAACTCAATTTTGTTGTGGCACCATCTGAAGCCCAGTCTTGTTTAGGCTTCTTGTTGCATTAAGAAGGCTCCCACGATCTCAGTCATGAGAATTAGACATCATTTAAGCCTCCAAAAATTTTCAGTGGTTACAACAAAGGTCATATTGAAATTTAAGATACAATGCACTGCATATATGAAATGACATGACTACCTTCACGCCACATTTTGAAGGACTGTGTGATGTGTGAAGTTCAGAATGTTTCACAACTGTAAACCCGGAATGCAGGTATTACTTTCCATGATTTCCCAGTAGGAAATCTATTTTAGATAAGCCCTTTAGTTTCACAGTGACACTCACCATCCTAATAACAAAGCAAAAAGTACACACAGTTAAAAAAATCTTGACACTTCGGGAAGTTAGGCTAGATCTTTAGATTGCCTGACCACTGTGCCAGATAGGGGCCTACATCACGTCTATACACTTTGAAAAGAAATTAGGCCTACTCACGTTATTGTGTTGTTGAAGTAGTATGGCCAGTTGATCACATCGTCTTCTTGTCAATATCTGCAAGGACGTCACGAAGATTACGGGGCTTGTTGTACTACAAGCGCAATGTCATCATCGTTCAGGTCTGACTGGTGTTTATTGACGTTTCGTACTTTAATTTGCCCCATGACCCTGTCTTCCTAAGTCGAAGCTCGAGCCGAAACGTTCGAAACAAAGTCGCCGACATGTTGGATATTGTGAATCCGGAGCCGCACAGAGACGAAGCCAAAAAATGTGAAGCCGAAGCCCAAAGCTGAAGCCAGTCGTTTCAAAATCCCTTGCCAGCCATTCCATGGTGACTCACATGACATTTGAACAAATGTTGACATTTAATGCAATTTACTGTTGCTAACATGGCACTTATGCAACTCAAATTACCATGTAATTAAGACAAAGCATTGTGAATGTCTCTCTTAGTTTTTATTTTATCACTTTAAAATGTTTGTTTTCTTTATCACAGTTTCTTTGACGTGACTCGCGTGATAGGATAGAAAGGGGGATTTTTCATATCCCCTGATTCTAAAAGCATTTCCAATGAATCTACAAGTGTGCTAAAGTAAATTTTTACTGAGCTTAAAACTTCATACTCTGACCTAATCCATGCATGGGTGACATTGTGCGAAGTCTCTCTTGTTGTGAGAAATGGCCAGAAGAAAATGTGACTCGCGCAACACAAATGCGCGACGCAGTAGCTTTTGTACTGCTACATTATAACTGTAATAAGAGTAACACAAATCCAATAATAATATTACATTAATAAAAATGATGTACCTACAAATACATTATGGAAGAGTGTGAAAACTGCTATTATCCCTTTACTTTGGCAGATATTGGGGTGGAAATCTATAGGGCATTCAAAATTTACTTTCAACAAGCATATTAAATTCATAATAACTGTCATAATTACTACCTACATGATGCTGAATCTGCTTGGTAGGATGAAACTTCAGGAGAGAACTATTCGCATGTACATGTATAAAGTAAAGTATGTACGCATGTGGTATTGTATCAAGCTTTCACATGTGGATTTAGTGCAGATTTCACAGCCCACCTTCCACATGATAAAACAATGCTGTGTTCCAGCATTTTCTAGGAGTTTTCCATGTAGCAAAGAATCAGGGGTGACTGTATTAAATTTGGAGGGGTGTCTGAATATATGATTGCCCAACTTACATGTACCTATATGTACTGTACATGTGCCCATCATCATACTTTCATGTACATGTAATTGACAGAGTTTCTAAAGGAAAGTGCTGCAGTTAATGATGTAGTTGTACAGGAATGTACAGCATCTTTTTTTGGTAAAAAGCTTTAATTTCATTGACTGATTCAATTTTGTGTTTTCACAGTGCTTTTACACTCAATTTCAATTCTTGGCGTGTGACTCGCGTGACATACAGCACATACATGTGACTCGCGCGACACTCTTGAAAGAGTTTTCCCAACAAGGAATGCAAAGCAAATAAAAATATTCATGCTTTTGATAGACCACTACTATTTGATTTACAAATATCAAACATTAGCTGAATCCCTGTCTAGTTTTTTAGCAATCTACAAGAATTGTCAAATTTTTTGAATCGCATGGCATATTTTGAGGGTTTTTCACAATTAAAACCTGGGAAAATACAAAAAGCATTTGGAAAAATTTTCGATGTTTTATCAAACAGACTAGAATAGCTAACTAATGTATGCAGATAAAGTAAAATCATATGACTGAGCTTCAGTTACTTTCTAAGGTTGTGATTTGTATCCTGCCCCCCCCCCTTTTTGACCACAAATTTCATCCATATTCAGGAGACTGTAACCTAAATAAAAGATTCTCTAAGTTAAAAGTTCTTTTGAGATTAACATGGTTTCAATATTCCTTTTATCAAATACGACTGAGATACATTTATTTTTTTTCACTTCAATATTTAAGTTTGATGATGACCCTTACACGCAATGGCTGTTTTAGGAATTGCACAGCGATGTGTGCTTCGCGTGTGTAAACGAATGAGAGCTCAAGTTTTGGCAACGGGTTAACTGCCTAATTTAACATGAACTACACTGTATCTTCCAATAATTGACACATATATATACGTATGAGCAACGTCTACCTTTAATCAGGCATCCACCAAGTGTTGGTCATTCCACCAGTTCACTATTGAGGACATGTACTCGAGCCACACCCTGGTTGAGAACACATAGCAGGCCAAAATGAAACAGGCTGATGCAGTGAGCAGAAATGCCAGAACTTGAAGGAATGACACTGCCCATTCCTTTCTAGGGCATCTTTTACCCAATTCATGCTTGAGTGTACACAGTGCAATTAGATGCATTGTATAGCAGAATACGAACAGATGCTGTAGGTTTGTGATAGTGAACAACTACAGTTGAATGTGATACAAATAAACTTGCAACAGGCAACTGGTTACACCTATATCAAGGATGATTTGCAAAATATCAGAAAGAGCTGACATTAATATTCAGAATGGAAGTACATGTACAATGTAGGCCCTATCATCTTTACAATGAGTAAGTGGGTAAAACCCCAGAAAGACCTTCATGTACTCATGAACCATGTCAATGCTAAGTCAATTTTGCGTTGATGCACACTTTGTAAGAATAAAAGCCGAACAAACTGAAATTCAACAAAAATGTTCCATGTTATTCCTAAAGTAAAAGGAAGAATACTGGAGGAGACTTGTAAGTATGAGCACCAGTTGACTAACTCAAGTTCACCTGTATGCCTTTCCTATAGACATGATTGATAGATCGGGGAAGCCCGGGCTTAGGCTAATAGTAATACAGGACACGATTACTTTCTGGACAAAATGTGTGTAGGCCTAAGACGATTTCTACCCTAATGGCAATCCTAACATACTTTGTTAACTTCCGACCCATCCACTGCCATCGCAACAGATAAAACAGAAATAGCCTAACTTAGGCCCCCAGTGTACAGGCAGGTGTAGGCAGCTAGTAAGGATTAATTAAAACAGCCTTACGCGTGGTGATAACTTGAGCCCACGGCATTCATCAAGAAAGGCAGAAACTTATTACCTGACCTTCTTAATCTTCTCTCGTAGCTGCGACTTATAGCCGAATACAGATAGCGCTTGCTTGCGCCGGCTAAATGTACTGTATGTGTTCACGTGTCCATACGTGTACTACTGAAAGATACATGTACGTTTTCAAACGTGGACACAAATCACTCAATAGGAGGTCCGGCCGCCTCTCGACTAAACTATGGAGGTACTGTACTTATGGTCTTGAAGTGTACATGTATCACGCGTACACAATATATATGGATGGCTCGACCACCAGGCCGGCTTCGTGTGCGCGTACGCGTGCACGACCGGTGATATGACTGCTGGCCAATCAGCGGCGGGTAAGTTTGAGCGAGTGGCCTTGGGGCCGGGGATCTCATGACCTCGATTCCATGGGCTGGCTGCGTGCGCGTTCCTTGACTAGCCTCTGGTCAGTTGTGTTGAGTATGAAAACGTAGACTTGGAATCAAGTCGTTAGTCCGTCGTGTTTGTCTTCCATACGCTGCGTCATATTGTCACGGACATATATAAAAAACCTGGACTTGCAACGCCTTTGTATGAAGAAGAAGCCAACCAGCGGCCATTTTACCGAGCCGAATACGAATGCGTGGGTCGGCTCCCTTCTATTGACGTCAGGAAGAACAAAGGCGGGCATTGCCAGAAAAGCTTTGTATTCGGCTGGGTAAAATGGCCGCGAGTGGATTCCATGACTCTATAAGCTGATTAAGGGCATTGCGAGTCCAGATTTTATTATACACGTCCGTGCATATAGTGCGCAGCCCGTTCACGGTTGACTGCGATCCATGAGAAACTGCCGGAACACATATTGGAATTATGGTCAGAGTGGCTTAACATGTAAAAATCAGGAGGGTTTTTGGAAAACAGTCCTTAATTTTTTGAACGTACATTGCATTGACAATACGCCTCAAATCAATAATCTACTCTTATTGCATTACATTGAATGAAATGGTTGACGCCGTTTAACAATAAATAACAATTTATACAATATATATGAAATAACACTTGATATGCTCATGTATTTTAACATAGAGAATGTTGAATGCGAACAATTTTGCTAAGATGGGTTGAATTTGTATTTTTTCTATCTCAAAACGAGACACAGATAATTGGTTGCCACTTTTCTAGTGAGCATCAAGTCTCATCTCCTGGGGAAAAATGAAAATTGAATTTAATAGCCCTACTGACTACTGGCTATGTTCTCACCCATCTATTGCTCCGTGCAAAGCAAATCCATAAACCTTTAGCTTGTCATGCTGATCGACGTGGATTGCAAAATTCGGGTCTTCATTGACATAGGATCGTCTCCTCAGTCTATGTCTTCCACGTAGTTCTACCCCTTCAGGGTCTAGCATGCGTTGCCCTCCAAGGACGACGCTCCTACAAAAAAAATTCACACAATGTACGATGTCTAAAAACAAGAAGAGTAAAAAACATTCAAATGAAAACTAGATGAGAAATGTATTGCGTCAGCAATTGATAATGTTTTATTCTTGTCGGTCTACCTTGGAACAATGATGCTATAGCGTGACAACATTCTTCTTGCCATGGCCCGGCATCCCAGATTGTGGCCACTGCCTTGTAATTCAGCCTACGAAGAATAAGTCGTTAAATAAATAAGAAAGCAATTATCTGGTTGCCCTATTAGTATTTCCAGAAGCACCGGGAAATGAAACGTTCGTAGGATTAAATTAATTTACAGTTGATAACCAGCACAACTGTATGTGTAACATCTTCTAGCATATGAAATACAGTACTGTAACATAAAACCATGTAACTCTACTTTTGAACACAGAAATTACTTTACATAAAACCTGCATACAACCCACTTCCGTGCAAAAAGTGGTAGAGGACATGCACCAGATTTAAAGATTGAGGGCATACGAGCAATGAAACCCAACAAAGGAATATTCTGTAAGTAAAATTCTTCTATTTAATTAATTTGGTACAATAATAGCGGATCGAGAATGTATTTGACACAACCACTGCTTGAATGAAACTTGCATACAAAAGAAATGTTTCAACCTAAAGTGTCTCTTCTCTCACTGCTACCGTTTTCAAGACGTTCTGTTACCCCTACCCGCAAACTTATTAAGAACCAGTTCAGTTTGCGGAGAATTCGGTGCAGCGTTCTCAGGCCGACAGCACAAGGAATAAAAACATATCCATCTCTATAAAACAATGCACAAGTGTTATTTCCACGCATGGGCCGGAGGACAGCGATACTAACCGTTCAAAGTCTAACTAGTACATGTACATGTACACAAATACTACAGCTATAGGCCAACATTCAAGTCATCCATGTCAGCATATACAAATAAAGTAGGCCAATACCTGATGGTAATTCGATGTCAAAGGACCAAAATTGAAAGAATCTCCTCGTAGCTGTAGCCTGCTTCAAAGTAATGACAGACCAATCGGTCTCATTGTAGGATAGTGTCATTGCCGTCATTGTTGAAAGCATGTTGTGGTTGTAGCAACGTATACATTTCTGCTCAGGTCGGAGGCTAAAGCATGTAGGCTACAGGCTGTGTTATACCAGGCAAGGTATGGGACGGAGGGGTACCCCCCTTACCTGTCTAATCCGTATACAAACTCCAGACTATTGTCACCTAACTCATCCCCCCTAGAATCTGTAAAGAATTTCTGAGATTCCGATTAAACAATGACCAACACAAAGGCAGGGGTTCTCTCCGTCTAATAACTGGCTTCAAATGGGCTGTCTGGAGGTCAAAGTTAAAATTTTTCATCGAGAAATGCGATGCCCGTTGAAAAATGCGACGCCGGTTGAAAATGCGACGCCCGGTCGAAAAAAGCGACGGTGGTCGAAAAATGCGACGCCCAACGTAAAATGCGACGCCCGTCAAAAAATGCGACGCCCGTCAAAAAATGCGACGTCGGTTAAAAAATGCGACGCCGGCTAAAAAATTCGACGCCCTCAGAAAAATGCGACGCCGGCAGAAAATGCCACGCCGGCTGAAAAATGCGATGCCGGCTGAAAAACGCGACGCTGGCTGAAAAATGCGACGCCCGTCGAAAAATGCGACGCCGGCTGAAAAATGCAACGCCAGATGGCACGTATGGTGTTCCATATGACGTACCGACCCCAAAGAGTACAAGTATTAGTGTAACTTAACTTAATTCGTGTTCTCATTTATTAAAACACTGGCGGCCTACATACAGTTGATAAGGCTTCGTAGTTTGCAAAAGAGGAGTCTAAGTTGCATATGCGACCGGCAGGGATCAAGTAAATTGGTATGAGAAGTTTCAAGTTATGCCATTTTAGTTGGATTTAAGGTTTGTAAAGCCTGACAAACTGTACGACGAAAAACTGTATTCTTGTATTGTTTTCAGGAAGTAATATGGAAGACCTTTTGCAGGAACTTGGATTGGAGGAATTCGTGGATGCTTTTGTGGCAAACAATGTAAGTATTAAAATAATTGCAAGAATGGTATACCATTCTGCGATGGTTGGTAAATGGTAGAAACACATGTTGTCTGATCGATGGGAATTGAAATGGTTCTTTCCAGAGTAGCCCAAATGAATCGTACATTTTGTTGTACTAGAAGTGAAATTTTGCACACGATTGGTTTTAGTTTTGATGCATTTCCCACAGTCCTTAAGAAGCAAGAGTCGCTATGATCTATCTATTATTGCCTTTTGGGTTTATAGAAAAGTGTGAGAAAGACATTACAATATATTACTGTGGGCATCTTATCAGTGCCATTCCACTGTGCTTTGGTATTAATGGAATGGGAGAGTTGCACGTCAAATGTTATTTCATATGTATTGGTAGATTTATAGATACTACTCCTTGTGTGTAATTTCTCTTGACTGTTGACGCTCACGGTATAACATTGTTTCGTAAGTTTGCGTGAAATTAGTTAACTCCCAACTGGATGCCCTACGCCTGTAGAACCTTGCGCATGCCTGGTCATTATTATGTGGTATGGAGAGGCAGGAGAAGAACAACTTAGTCTTGGAGGCAGTGGACCATGTACTTGTTTGGGGATGCTGGTGCCATGCGTGTGGGTGCGTGTTTGGTAGATCAAAATTTATTTCTATTATCGGAAGGAACACTAATACTGTTGTTATCGTCTGACCTTTCCTTCTGTGGCTACGTGAAATGTAAAATACAAGGTGGCAATGACTTTCCAAACGGAAACGATAATGCGTCAAGGACTTTCCCGAATGTACAAGAGAGTTTTTAATACGGTACAGAATGAATAAAAAGAGGAACCGACATGTAATTGTTAATTTCGACAGAGGTAGGGTTCATGTGAATGTATCGTCATGTGAAGGAATGTATCGTCTGTGAAGTTTGAATCTTCTCTTTGAAACCTTGATCATAACAAGTAATAATTTTTAATTTTATTTTATAACTCCTTTTACTTCGTTTTAATTATGTGAAAGTAATTTAATTATTGCATTTAATGTACAGCCCTTTTAGATGTCATTGACAAAGTAAGCGTTTTTTAAATAATTCATCATTTTTATTGTTATTATTATTAAGTACGTTCACGATTGACTGAGCACTGACCAGTTTTATGAAAGGTTCTTTTTATAAAATCGCGCCACTAGTCGTTTGTGGTTTTTATTGTGTTATTTTTGTCACAGGGTAAAGGGCCAAGTCAAAGACAGGTTTGATCTGGTTCCTTTACGCTGGTACTTGCGAACAATGACAGACCTCCACCACTACATGCTATTTCATACATCCTTTCCTGCGGGCCTACTGCACTTTCTGAAATCTCTTCAAGACTATTGACTTGCTAAAACAGTGCGATGTGAAAATGCAGAAAAAACATACCTAAAGTTGCTTAATCTGAGAGGACCAATGTTCACCCATGACCTACCCATACCTCGTGTATTGTTATGGCCAACGAGTAAATCATTAACCACGCCATGGAGCTTTGCTTGCAACACTTATTGTATTTATTCCATCCAAGCTCTTTATACCTATAAGAAAAGCAACTACATCGGGTTCACTGTACAGTGAACAACATAGTTGGTTTTGTTCTTACAGTTGAATGCATGCGAGTCACAAGAACAATTTGACAAGGTTGTCCGACTGGCTGCTTGACCAGGGAGTCGTTAAGATTTTCGGACGCCAGTTAGCCGAACGGTATATCCTCATAAAAGACCTGATGACACATGAGTTTTGCTACAAGTAAGTGTATATACATGTACATTGTTTCATTTGCACATGGGCTAATAATGATTGTTATGCGTCAAGTTAACTGTCGGAATGAAGCAATCACCTGGAAAAACCAAATTATTGAACCACTAATGTTAAATTTGTGTTGATAATGTCGTTCATGTATTATCAACATCCCTACATGTTCCTTGCTAATTCGTTTTGCATTAAAGGGTAGAAAGTTCCATCAAGCAGTTCTGCGAAGGGTTGGGCCCGATGTACGATCAAGTCAAACGCAGCCCGGGTGCAACAGCACAACTGTTCGTCTACACAAATAACAACCTGAGGAAGGCTGATCTGAAGAAAACATACACCATCACCTACTCACTGGAGGGGAGTAACAACAGGACACAAGAAGAGGACACAATGTACAGCTTCGAGACTTTCTTACTTGAATGTGAAGGTAAATTTCACTGGTATCGACAACTGTATATCTTATTGTCTCGCAAGAAAGATGTCTTGCCACATCCAGTTTATTTTTGGCGCAATGTGGTTTAAGGAAGGACATTTGATATGTCTTTTTTGGCTTTAACATGCCTTTGGTTGTTGGCAAAGGTAACTTTTTTATTGTTTTTATGTGTACATTTTATAGCGAACTCAACGGGAGTTTCTTTGAGTGAAGTTCTTGAGTTCTGGATAGGTGCAGAAGATATCCCACCGTATGGCTTCCAGATGCCTCTGCTGATAGATTTCTACAGCACCACTCCTGGAATCAGGCATCTGCCAAGTGCCCACACTTTCATGCCTGTTCTTTGGTTGCCAGGGGTATTGGAGATCCTGATGATCTGAGAGGAATGATGGTGCAGGCAATACAGAACTGCCACGGTTTCGGGAAAATTTAAGGAGGATATTATACAAGTTTAACAGTAAAGAGATTAAATTGATGAAAAACTGCTAAATTCAAAACTTGTAAAACAGGGGTCCGTGTGATTTCGTTTTCTTTATAAAGCAGCTTTGACGTTCATTTCCACATGATTGTCTGTCTACATTGGTCAACTTACAGCAGATAATTTCCCAAACTTAATTTTTATGTCTAGTCTAATTTGTTGAGCAACCATTCGAAGGGTTGTACACCTTCTGCGACAGTAGAAGGCATTGCGTTTGAGTGAATCAACATTAAATCATTGCAGACTGAAGCGAATTACACAGTGCATCCTTCTGGTGGCGGTGGAGTTGTAAATTCTACCTTTATTTGCTGCAGTTCTTGACGTGGGACTGGAATACTATAATTGTGTGTCCCTGAAAGTATAAAAAAACACATAATTCACTCACAAGAGTAATCATCCCTTTACATTTATGTACCTGACGCCGTAAGTAAATCTGCTGGCATCTTGAAGAGGGAAAAAGAAGGACTTGGGGTTAGTTGTTCTTCCAAAGTTGACACTTGTGCTCACATGGGAAGATATACTCACCGTATACTTGTGGCAAAAAATAAAAAATATCAGGCTTTGCAGGCAAGGCTTCAACACCTAGGGATGCCCTGACATAATGCTAGTTCCACTCCTTTCGCACGTCATCCAACTCAGATCATTGAATAATCCTGTTGAAGCAGAACCTCAGACATTCCCTGTAATTCAATATGTGGTGATTTATAAATGATACATTCAGCGTATGTAAATCGGCACGGTATTAATTGTCTACCTCGATGTTAACATGCTGTATAAAAGTCTGACGAATACGGGGTATCCTGTCCGCCTCCAAGATTTTGCGACACGTTGATCATTCACAATGCACGAAATCTGTCGACCATTTCCACACGCTCAACGAGTCGACAGAATTCACGCACTGTGATTGGTCCATGCGTTGCAAACTCTTGGAGTCGCACTGACGTGAATCGCCAGTATTGTTTGCAGGTTTATCGAATTACAGCAGGTCATTTCTGAATTCCAGACTCGTAATTTCTAAATTGTACCGAATGGATTTAAATGTAGACGTAACTAAGCAATATTTAGTTTGTGTATTGTTACAGATAAGGAAACAAATTTAACATGCAGTAAAATTTCACAAAGGACATTTTTCGAAAGAAATTTTTACCCCAGAATTGTACATAGATAACAGTAAGCGGAAAAGTACTTACAAATGTAGAGGGGAAGTGCATTCAAGTTGATCCCGGTTTACCAACTGCCGAAAAATGTCGACCCAAAAATGTCCCATCATTTCGAAAAGAGTTCGCCAAATGCGTTCTATGCGCTGAGAATGAAAAAATAGAACAAGAAGCGATTACATACTCTCTTGATTACAGTTAAGGATGTATGTTTGTTGGAACTTATGCATGTAGATTGTTGAAAGTCGAAGTCGAAATGATGTAGTGATAAATCGAAACTCCATAATAGTTCCTAGACTTTTTAATAGAAGCCAGCTTATGCAGGTACGTTGGCTATCACGACCCCAACAGGTAGGATTGCATGGCATAAGTTGTTTTACATAAAGAAAGATTTGAATTTAGCACCTGGTTATAACGAGAGGTGCTCTTTATTACACATGGCCCTTCCTGTCCGCCATACACAGAATGGATGGCAACTAGTATGTCATCAATGAAGACATTCTCTGTCCCTCTATCCGTTTGGATACAGCGCGGAGCTCCTATGATGTTCAACAAGTACAGGAATGGAAAAGTGTCATATGGAAGCATGTCAATACAGTAAAAACTTTTATGCTACGATGTTCTGTCTAAGGGTTACAACTCTCTTTTTTTTTGCTTCACGTAGTTCTGTAGAAAGAAAAATCAGAGTGATAGCACATACGGGCCTATACCTCCGAAAGTAATTAATTCATGTGGTAATAATGTACAAGACAGTTGTGACAAACCAAGGAGAGCTTTGTATTGGCTGATGTAGTTGTACCTTGAAATCACAGTCAGTTATTGTAGTGCTATATTTTAATATATACTTCACTG